TTTATTTATTTATTCGGTTTAAAAACATCAACACGTAAAGTTCAGGAACTCATAATGGTTGATTTACAATGAAATTGAATAGTATAAACAAAATTGAACCAACAAATATACACTTAAGAAGAACATATTATTTCACACACATAAAAATGTGATTGCAATACAATATACAACGGCTGGCTAGATGTGGCTAGACCAAGGCGAGATATGACAAGGAAATCGAAAAGAAGATAAATGACAAAAGAGAGAGAGAGAGAGAGAGAGAGAAAGAGAGAAGAAGAAATGGTGAGAGAGAAAGAGAGAGGGACAAGAAAGGGGAGGGTAGAAAGAAAAAGAGAGAAGGTAGGGGGAAAGAGAGGGGGAGGGGAGATACGGAGGGGAAGTGAGGGAGAGAGAAGGAAGAGAGAGGAAGAGAGAGGGAGAGAGAGGAAGGTAGAAAGAGAAAAGGAGATAGGGAGAGAGTGAGGTATAGAAAGAGAGAGCGAGAGAGAGGAGAGAGGCGAGAGAAGAGAGAGAAAAGAGGGGGAGAGAGAAGGGGATAGAAGAGAGAGAGGGAGGAGAGAAAAGGAGAGACATGGAGAGGGAGAGAGAGAAAGGGGAGAGATCTTTAAAAGGCAAAATAAGAAACAAGGTAGATAAACGTAGCATTAAAACATTAATACATTTCTTATACACATCTACACAGGAGAAGGCGCACCGGAGCGTTCTGAGAAGACAACAATGGATTGGCCTGCAACGCATCGTCGCGTCCGCTCCGAAGGCCACGGTGCGCCTGCACATGATGGTCAACATTTCAGCATTTTCAAGAAATTTAGAGTAGCTAAAATGTACAGGCAATTTGGCAGTAAATAGCAAAATATAATCAATACCCTTCCCGACAATGTTGTGCAAAACATGTAAAGCTAATTGTTAAAGAGTTGGCACCTCTATTAATTAATGGCAAAACCCGCATTTCTTCAATATTCTGGATCAGAAAAATACAGCTATAATAAAGTATTGCACCTTGTAATGGTTCTAAAGAGTCACAACATGTAAAGCTAATTGCTAAGTTGACACCTCTATTAATGGAAAACCCGCATACCTTCAAATTATTTAACAAATCAGAAAATACGGCTATAATAAAGTATTGCACCTTGTACATGTATCAGGTCTAAAGATTCACAACATGTGAAGCTAATTGTCAGGAGAAGTTGATACCTCTATTAATGGGAAAAACCCGCAAATCTTCAATATTATGAATCATGTATTAGAAAATACAGCTTTAATGAAGTATTGCACGTTGTTTCCGATCTAAAGAGTACCGGTACATGAAATACAATTCAATTTTTTGGAATTCACATTAGGTTATTGAGAGTCTTAACGACTTGGGGTAGAGGAGACTTTTTATAGCGTTGGGTACGACACATCGGTTCTAGAAACCCATCCTTCGATCTTAGGGGACGATAATTAGGTAGGGTGCTTCGGAGAGGTGGGAGCATCGAACTGTGCCTAGAGCTTATGATGGACTTAGCAAACTTCTCAAATAATTGTTTTCGACGATGCTCAAGTGATATGATGTTAAGAAACTCGAGAGCATTTGCGTAGTCTGTGTAATATTGGTAGCCAATGATAATTCTACACGCACGTTTTTGTATGCGCTCAATTTTGTTAGATTGCTGTACTGTGAGAGCTGGAAACCACACAGGGGAGGCATACTCCAGTAGTGGCCTGATATACATCAGGTAGACCGATACCAAGTCGCCGACAGGGGCTTTGTACTTTTTGAGTATACATAGCATATATAGTCGTTTAGCAGCTACACTGGTCATATGAGAAGTTTGCATGTCCCATTTCATGTCAGCTTGTACAATAACGCCCAATAGTTTGAGAGTATCTACACATTCAAGAGTGGTTGCACCAAGGTGAAAGTTCGGAAATACAGTAGGTCTTTTCAGGAATGAAACATTCATTATCTTACATTTCTCAGGTTTAGGGGTCATGCTATTATCAGTAGACCAAGTAGAGAGATTGTTGATTGCTGATTGGATGTTAGAAGGTTGGGAATGTTTCCTAACTTCTGCAATTGTGAGATCATCTACATATTTCCATCTTAGTTGTGTATCAGAGGCAGCATCATTAATCATGACTAAGAAAAGGACCGGGCCAAGGCTACTGCCTTGGGGGGCTCCACATGTCACATTAGAGAAATTAGAGACAATAGGACCAATACGAACACAGTGTGATCTACATTCAAGGTAACTACAAATGACTGGAATAAGTGATAGGTCTACACCAAGTTGGATAAGTTTCCTAACAACAACATTGTGATCAATATGATCGAAAGCTTTGGCATAATCAATGGCACATAGTGATGCAACATGACCAGGCTTATCAGTTCCTTTTAAGATAGTGTCCACAAGACTCACAAGGTAGTGAGTGGTCGATGAGTTCCTAATATTTCCATACTGTTGACTGTCTAACTTGTGACTGATGTCGCGGGTAATCCAACTTGAAAGGAAGGTTTCAAAGATCTTAGCAAAGATAGGTGTTAGAGAAATGGGTCGTAATTGGTCGAAAGACTGGCATGGTTTCACCTTGGGAATGGGCACTATGTTGGATAGCTTCCACTGGTGGGGGAAAACGCCGGATTGTAGGCACTCATTAAATATACGAGCAAGAGGATCAGCTAGTTCAGGTGCAAATTCTCGGATGAGTCTTGCCGGAAGGTCATCCTTGTACGAAGCCTTAGAGGGGTTGATATTCCTAAGCTTCTGATAGACCTGGTGAGCTTCAATTACAGGAGGTGGTCGCGGGGCAGGAAGAAATGCTGGCAGTGCATTGCGATCAAGAGGAGGTAGTGCCGAGCAGATTGAAGCGAAATGGTTGTTGATGTTTTCAGCTTGATCTGCAGGGGCCAAGTCACTTTCGGGTAAGGTAGGTCTAGTCTTCTTGAGACCTGCGAGGTGACGAATCTCCTGGTGCCACTTTCCCGGTTGCTGTTTCTTAAGATTCTTGACTTTTCGGGAGTAGAAATTTTGCTTGCACTTAGCAATCTCTCTTCGAACTGTATTGCGTAGGGTTTTGTACAATGGGATATTACCGAGCAGATAAGCTTTCTGACGTTGTGAGATGATCGTAAAAACTCGGTTGGTGATCCAGGGCTTATCATCAGAGCGACGTTTAATGCAGGTTGGTGGGAAGATCTGGAGGTAGCGAGCTCGAAGTGATGAAGCAAAGGACTCTACCATTTCAACAGCATCACGACATTCGTTGAGACAAGTCCAGTCCTCTGATGTGAGCCACTGGCCGAAGGTACGGATGTTGGAGTCCCTCATAGGCCGAATTGTCGTCTTACGTGGCGCAGAATTAAGAATTACATTAATAGGGTCGATGATGATGGTTCGATGGTCACTAGTTGAGATGGGGCTGGTTACAACAGGTTCCTTGTATAAATCAGAGGAGTCAGTGAAGACTTTATCTAAGATGTTATGACGTCTGGTGGGCTTCGAGACGATTTGTTGGAACCCTAGTTTGTCAAGAAGAGGAGCAGTGTTAAGGTCGTTGAAGTCACCTAAAATCATGAACTTCGCATCGGGATGTTGTGACTTTAAATGATCAACCATAAACTGCAGGCTGTCAATAATTTCATCTTTCAACGGAGACTGGGGATGGTAGTACACAGCACATAAAAACAGAATACGAGTTTTACTGAGAACCAGCTTTAACCATAGTAACTCTAGATGGTTGGGAACAAAGTGTGATTCGATAGGTGTGGCTTTGAAGTCGGAGCTTACGTAGATGGCGACTCCACCACCTTGACGGTCATTACGATCTTTGCGATACATGTCAAAACCAGAGATTGATAATGCACTTGATGGAATGTTGTCGTTTACCTATGTTAATACAATTATCACAATGGCACTGTTGCATAGTATATCACCTAATTTGCAATTATAGTAGGTTCTGAATGATAGATTGTAAATCTGGAAACTACCATTCACGATATTAGACTTACCTTTTCTTTATCAACCCTAGACTTGCTTTATAGTATTTACATACTCCAATACTAGGTGGAGGATAAACGTTTATATAGCAGTTAGGTACTTCGTTTATAATTTGCCATACGATTCTTTGCATCAGAAAGTTCCAACCTCAATGAAAGTACTCTTACAATGTATACTTCTTTTCTGACATAGAAATCAAAGTCAATACTTTTAAAAACGGTAAGAGTACCACGTGCGTCGATCACCACGTGCCTGGCACATTTTTGCTTGTCTGCGCTGCATGCATCACTGTCCAAACACACACATACAAGGTATCTGATTGGTCGATCAATTCCAGACGCATGCGCAGTAAACAGCATCCGTCTGGAAAAGGGCACACGTGTGCTAATAAACTAGCAGACGTGTGCTATCGCACCTTGCACACGTCTGAAAAATTAAAGGCGGTGATTGGTCAATTAGCAGACGTCTGCCTGTTATTTAGCAGACGTGTGCCGCGTTCCATACGTCTGGGGCATGTGAATAAAGTCACCAACGGCCTTCCATAGAGATGAGACTAACTATCGTTTGGCGAGCTCCCCCTCCTACTTTTGGCTTCCCAATCCGATAGCGAACAGAAATGTCGTCTGGGGTGATGTTGACACCAACCTCTTCTGCCAGTTGAAAAACCATGCTCATCAAGGCCTTTTTCTGTTTCACCTACATTTTCCTCCGTCTCCACTCGTCCTAAACACTAATGTGACTGCAAATATTGAATGAAGCAATATGTACTGATCTGAATATGGGCAAGGTGCTTAATGGTACACATCTGTGCCTCTAGCATCCAGCTGGTATTAAAAGTTCTTTATCTGCTTATTTCATAAGTGTATGATGAAGTCAGATAAAATTACAAGTGATAATTTGCTTGTTAGAGTGACTGAATATGAATCAGTTTGTTGTAAGTCTCCTGACATATCCTGACATTGATGATAACAATACATAGGGTTGGAAGATCGAGTAATTGTTGCTTACTTTCCATTGTAGGAACCGGTAAGACAGTGACCGGTGCGTATCTGGCTTACCATTTCACCCAAGTCAACCAGAAGATACCAGTGATGGGTAAAGGTAGACCTCAGGTGCTCTACTGTGGACCTTCCAACAAGGCCGTTGATGTCATCGCTGGTAAGTCCTTCATTATCTTCACTCATTCTATGCTATTGGTGGCAAATGCCACTTAAGATATTTAATGATGTACCACTTAATTGAAGTAAGAACACTTTTGCCTGTATTTCTAGAAGAGGAGGATCGAGGTGCTAAATTTTCATTTTACTTATATTTGTTTGTTCACAATAAAGATGATTTTGCTTTATTTATACATAGATTATAAATTGAAACACAGTTGTAAGTTCATTTCTAGGAAATGTGTTTTTATTTTTGTTGCAGGGTAGGGATTGATCTTTATCTGTAATATACAGTATTTAGTACTTTTACTTTGCTGAGTCTAGAGGGCAAATTTTTCCTTATTCCCAAAGAGTATGTGAAAGGCAAATCGACTTGTACAAAACTGTATAGGGTCTGTCAGCCTCATTGAAAGATCAATTGATTGAAAGACTGTTGCAGTCTCAGTATAGTACAGACCGCCGTTGGCGTATTATCGTAAGTTGTGCTTATCAATTAGTGCAGAGTGTACGGTGCAAGTAAAAAGGCTCTACAAGAATTCTATGAGCAGCTAAAAACAGTCTGAAGCTCAACGGAGCTTAATGTGTTGCACCTTCTGCTTGAAAAATCCCAAAGAAGTGCAATCAACAACAGCAGATGGTAAGGAGTTCCACAGTATCTGGGTAGAATGTGGTTTGGAATAGCAGAGTTTGGGCAAAGGGGACATGGAACTTCTGTGGATTTTCATGGGTGCTGGGACCAACAACTGGTATTAAGTAGGTGACTGGAAGATCAACCAGGCCGTGGAGTATGTTGTAAACCATGCATACTTTCTGCTGAGCCCTTCTTTCCTGCAGACTTGCCCATTGAAGTTGATTCAGCATGGTTGTGACGCTGCGTGTGTGTCGATAGTAAGCCAGGACGAAGCGTGCACAACGGTGTTGCACCATTTCCACCTTTCTGATACTTTCCTGGTGGATCATGGGTCCCACACTATTGCATACTCCACCACAGGGCGTACTAATGTCTTGCAGTACAGCAACTCCTTGGTCTGTTGTGGACAGGCCCTGATGTTTCTTTGCAGAAAGCACCATACAGAGTTGGCTTTTTTGGTGGTGATGTTCACATGGTGATTCCATTTCAGGTTGCTCTGGATGTGGACCCCCAAGAAGTCTGACCGTAGTATTGATGCAAAATTTGGATGGCAAGTTTAAAATTGAAACCCCCATTTGACTTTCAATACTCCTAGAGCTAAGCCTAAAGTAAACACTAGCGCTATACAATGTAATCCCCCTGCCCAGACCATGACGGGGTGATCTTTGTTTCTTCCTTCTATCACTTTCTCTTTCTGTCTTTCCTTATGTTATTCTTTGTTTCTTCCTTCTATCACCTTCTCTTATGTTATTCTTTGTTTTTTATCATTTCCTCTTTCTGTGTTTCCTTATGTCATTCTTTGTTTCTTCCTTCTATCACCTTCTCTTATGTTATTCTTTGTTTACATCGTTCTATAATTTTCTTCAAGGACGACAAGTAGCTCCGCTCCTAAAATCACGTGACCTAACATCGCGATGTTACAACTGCGAGCGTTCATATTTTCCAAACACGCCAAAACACGCCAAAAGATCACACTTCGTTTTGGAATGTTCGGGCTTGGCATTTCTGCCGGTAAAGCGTAGTTGCCCTTGGTAACATCGCGGTCAGGCTCCGGTTTGGCATTTTTTGGCGTGTTTGGAAGACAGTGTAAACGCTCCTAGAAGAGAGGGAGAAAGAGATAAGCATGATAGAGGGAGAGAGGAAGGGAGAAAGAGTGCTAATTTTCACAATTCTAATTGTTGTTATATCGCCAATTCTTAATGGTCATTTTGTTTCGTTCGAACTTTCATTATTTTCTTCATCTAAATTATAAGTGACTTTTGGACATGAGATATCTTAAAACAAGTAAAATATATATTTCCTACTTCTCATTTCCTTTCAGGTAGAGCCCCAGTAAGAGTTTTTTTTACACTAGTATTACGTAAGATGCTGAAGAGTCCAGCTGCAATCCAATATCATAATCTCTCACGCAGAGCCTCAATGCTCTGTCCAAGTTTTTAACGAGAGAAACGAAAGTGGAGTCGGGATACCCCACCTGATTTACATTGGTGCCTGTGCTATAGTGGTGAGGTATTAGTGGCTCTCTCAAAGTTTTAACGAGAGAAACGAAAGTGGGGTCGAGATACCCCACTTGATTTACGTTGATTCCTGTGTTATAGTGGTGGGGTATAGTTTTAACGAGAGCTTATCGTAATGTATTGGGGGTTTTGTTGCCTGTTCACAACTCTACTTGTTTCCTTTTCATGGACAGATCTGCTTACCGTGAATTATGTAATCATGAAGTATGCAAGTGAGCTGTGACATTTCACTTCTGCTTTGTTTGTCGACAGCAATGTACTTTAGCAAATATGATAATGACCACCCCACCCCCTGTCTGCTAAAAAGTGCTATATGCACTTCGAAATCGTGTTTTACAGGTTACTTAAAAAGGCTGGACATCTCCATTGTACGAGTCTACAGTGAGTTTATGGTCAACAAGATCTACCCCATCCCAGGCATACCTAGCTTGCTATCCAAGTGGAAGCGAGCCAATCAGGCTCGCATCGACGATCAGCTGGATGATGTCGCCCTTCATAAGTTGATCCGCAAGCCCGGAGCCCCTTACGCAGAAGAGCTCCGAGCAATGGAGCTCACCTTTAAGAGTATCTCATCTGCGAGCCCAAGAGAAGTTAGAGATTACAAAGATCTCATACTTGAGGCAGAGGTGAGTCTTTAGAGAATCTGATGGTTTAAAAAGAATAAAAGTATTTAGCTGCTAGAGGGCGTCAGCAGTTATTTATGAAGTTCAGTGAGTCTGCCATTTGGTTGTGTTGTGTACATATGGTCTTTTAGCATGCATCGCATCTCTATCTGTATGTATGACTGTTAAAGGTAATACAAAGTTTTGGTATGGGGTCATGAACTTGGTTCAAATAAACATATTGGAAGCATATGCGATCCTACAATTTTCAGTGATTGTTGTCGCGGTTGAAATCGAGTCTAATTCTAAAGTTATGAAATTGTAAATAATAAACTCTGTATGTTGTATAGCTCCCTCTCAAGGTCAAGATATTAATTAAAAGTAATACAAAGTTTTGGTATGGGGTCATGAATTTGGCTCAAATGAACATATTGGAAGCATCGCATATGCGATCCTACAATATTAATTGAGATATTAATTAAGCTATGAAACGATGATTCTTTACTACAATCCACCGATTAGCTATTCCTGTTTTGAAATTATATATCACAGCTACATATTCTGAGATTTTCATGGTCGCAGCTACCATTCACTATGAACATCACTGACAAAGAAAGCGGACAAAATATACAGTTCCTCAGGTAGACAAAGGAACATCCTTTCACTGCTATTATGTCAAATTGTGTAGAACAGGTGAATATGCATGTAACACCTGTTTTACACCTTTAACATAATAGCAGTGAAGGGATGTTCCTTTGTCTATCTGCAGTGTATATTTTGTCCACTTTCTTTGTCAGTCATGTCATAGTGATTGTACGGCCGCAGGCGCTATTTGAAATTTATCAGTTTTTCTCGAAAGCGGAAGTGTTTCAGGGGCTAAATTTTCTAGTGCTGATAATTCATCCACAGGGGCATCCAAATATATCAAAATTGTAAAGAATCACTATCCAGCCAATTTTCAAAATTTCCCAAAACTTTGTATTACCTTTAAGTTAATAAACAATGTTTCTTGACGAAAATCGACCGATTAGCTATTCCCGTTTGGAAATTATATATCTATTCTGAGATTTTCATGGTCGCAGCTACCATTGTACGGCCGTAGGCGCTATTTGAAATTCATCAAAATTCCCCAGGAGCACCGGTAAATTTTTATATTCAATTTTTCTAGAAAGCAGAAGTGTTTTAGGGGCTAAATTGCTTATAATACATCCACAGGGGCATCCAAATATATTAAAATTGTGAAGAATCACTATCCACCCATTTTTCTAAATTTCCCAAAACTTTGTATTACCTTTAATAGATTTTTCCTCCTATTTTCCTGCAACCAACACATCACTGCTTCACAACAGAACCTCTACGGAAGGAAACACTTAGACAAAAAGTCAAATCAGCAATTGACTTGACAAGGAATCAGTTGGATGTGTTGTATATATTTATATGAAAATAGCATCATAAATATTCAGTTTCTTGTTGTATTGGTCCAACAGGGGCTCACCTGCCTAATAATGAAAAATATCAAGAAATAGCAACTATTAAAAACAGACATAATAAAGTTAACAGAAAGCCAAATTCAGAAAATATTAGCCGAAGCTAAAGGAACAAAGTGCGCAAAAACTTAACGGACTGTACTTCGCTGCGGGATAGTATGTTAAGATAGCCGTGTAATTACAACGAGCTGGAATAACATAAGAGTCCTTACAAACCCTTTCTGTCGGCATAGTATAGGGGCAGTAAGCTGAATATAGACTCTATTCTCTGCTAACATAAAGAGTTCTGATGAGTGTAAGGTGAAAAGCTTTCGTATGTCTGTTCTTGTTGATATTTTTTCAATTTTGTAGTACAATTCATCTCTTTATTCATGTTGCACAAGTTCAGTTCACAAGCAGTCTTAATGTTAACATTTCCATGGTTACCTTTCCTAGAGTGTGGAACTCAAAAAGCACTCCATCGTCCTGTGCACGTGTAACGTAGCTGGAACAACCCCTATCGCAGATTACACCAACATCATCCAGTGTATTGTGGATGAGGCTGGCATGTGTAGAGAGCCCGAGACACTCATTCCTCTCACCAGCACTCTCCCTCATCAGGTCGTCCTCATTGGAGATCACAAGCAACTCAAGTACGGATCATTCTATCCGTTTTGGGCCAGGAGGGTGTTAACTCTGTATTAAAATTGTATTAACATTGTATGAAAATTGTATTAAAATATATGAGTTAAGGCCCTACCTATTTCAAACAAATGATTTCTTAGTGAGCACATGTCCCAAACTACCCCAAATATCCACAGATCTTTTAAACATAGAGAAAATATTGAATAAGCACTACCAAGAGAGTAAATGAGATCATGCCATGAATAATTGTCATTCCTCCCTTTGAAAAGAATACTTCCAACTGTACATTAGGTAATGGACAATTGATTAATAGATGAATTGACATGTAACCTTCATAAGTATGTATTCAGTAAGGGCCTTGGTAGATTTCATACATGTAATTTGGAACGCATCACCTTTGACTAAAGCTACCGTACCTGTACATTCTTTGATCTTGTTTCTTATTTTTTTTAAAGTGTGGTTAGATTGGTCTTTTTGTCCTGTCATATGAAGAATCGTGATTGATTTTGATCGATCACAAGTCCTCCAATCAATCACTACCATACAAACAATCTCTTTGGTACAAAGGTGCGATTGATATCAAGTAACAATTGCTTTTATTGGCTTCTCCTGAACAACCACTGCAAAAAAAAAATTTTAGTTTTGTATGGTGTAAATGAATGGCTACTGCTCACAACAAAGGACTTGCACGTATTCACTCTGTGTCACGAGATACAGTTATGTGCAGCATATCAAACTTTACGTCATTAAAAAAATTGCTGCAGTTTCGCAGGGTAACATTTGAACGAGCCTTTACTGCTCATAATACAAGGACAAACTGAAATTATTCCTTGAACCTTCCAGTAGCTGTACCAAAAAATGTTTACCTCGAAAGTAATGATGTATGAAAATCTGATGAATATTGAAAGTAAAAGGACTTTTGTAATCTTCTGTTTTAGGCCAATCATCACAGAACCGAATGCACGAGATCTAGGCACTGAAGAGTCGCTCCTTGCAAAATACAAAGGCAAAGCTCGCATGCTCACCATCCAGTATCGTATGGTAGGTCTTGTTTTTTTAAATCATCAAAGAATGTTTTGCTCTGTATGTTTGCCATTCAATTCTGGCATGTAAAGAGATCTTTCCAGTTAAGTGGCAAAATATCACTCTGAATAATGGTTAAAGTGAGTAGAGTAGTTAATGACCTCACTTCAAGATGTACATCCCAAGCTCCGTCATCAATTGTTCTGCAGTCAATATCTTGTTCTAATCAAATCTTTAGCTTCAAACCTGCACCAAACACTATACCTAACCCTAACCTCAACCCAAACCTATAAACCTACCGGTACATGTTAATTCAAACTGCCTCCTTAACTGTAACCCTGTCTTTTATGAAGTGAAGTCCGGAGCAATTGCTGCCAGAGGGTACGTCAGAGCACCGTTTGTGCATGCACACCCAATAAACAAAATCACGTGAAAATCACGTCAATATCAAGTTATCGACTTGAGGAGAGTTACGTTCTTCAAACACCTGACATTTACGTAAATGTGTTAATACGTTTATTGCACTAGGTCACCTAAAACACACGTTCACTAAATCACGCAATTGTCACTGCAATATCACCATTATAATAACGTGATTATCCCTACCTTGGAGACCATGGTTTGTAAACCTAATACTCCCGTGTTTGTTTGGTTATGAAATTACATCTTCATAAACGAAATTATCGCGTCACAGAAACACATGAAGCGTTAGTGATAGTTTTAGTCAAAATATCTGCGTGAAATTCACGTGAATATTACGAGGCTCACTTGAGATGAATCATGTTCTTCATTCACGTGAAATTTACGTCGAAGAAGAAATATGTTACTGTAACCCGCGTTCAACCTAATAATTACGCAAATTTTACACATTAAATGAACCAAAATAATGACGTTCTCATCATGACGTGAACATCGTGTTTTGAATCTTCCATAATTACGTCCAGGCGCGCCGGAAGCAGTTTGTGATTAGAGGGGGTTGGGGGGGGGTTGGGGTGCAACCGTCCCAGAAGAGAAAGCTAGTTGCAACTGGTCTAGTTGATGAACCAGTTAATGCGAAGTGGTAACCCTGGAAATTGAAATGGGCTAAATGATCCAGTTGATCCAGGCCAGTTAGAATTCAACTGGTCTAGCTGAGCCATTAGAACCATTTAGTAAAACTTCCAACCAGTTGAACGGCAACAACACTTCAATACTGGTACGTCTGTATTTCCAATGTAAAGGCATTGGTAATAAGTAGACTTACATAATTTAATTAATCGAAATTTTTTCATATTATTGTATTTTATTGAAATTATTTTAGTCCACAGTTAATGTTTCCCTTATTCATGTTTAATTAAATGTAATTTATACGAAGTAGCGAAATGTCCTAATAACTGGTAATTTATATTTGTAGTATTTTCGAAATGAATTGCATATAACTAAATCATCAGTAATTAAGAAATATGCTGTAAATTCAGATAAATTGTTTAAAAAACATAGATCTGCACGCACCCCATATTCAATATGCAAATTAATTGGTGTCAGCTGGTTCAACTGGAAATATGCCAACAGTCAGTATCATCAACTGGTGCAACTGGAGATATGCACACAGTCACGGGATTATCACCTGGGAACTTAAATGGTAACTGTGAAACCATCAAGACACCCAAGAATAACTCATTTTTCACACCTGGAAATCACGGAATACCCAGCTTATAATAGTAATCCGTTTGAGTCATGAGATCATCACCGCGGAACTGCTGGCAACTTTGACTACCATTTAAATAGGTGTCTTAAGACACCTAATAATGACTAATTTTTCACACCTAAAAATCACGGATGCCCAGCTTAGATTAATAATCTGGTTGAGTCACGAAATCATCACCGCGGAACTGCTGGCAATTTTGACTACTATTTAAATAGGTGTTTTAAGACACCTAATAATTACTAATTTTTCACACCTAAATATCACGGATTCCCAGCTTAGATTAGTAATCAGTTCTAGCTACGAGATCATCACCGCGGAACTGCTGGCAACGTTGACTACCATTTAAATAGGTGTTTTAAGACACCTAATAACTACTCATTTTTCACACCTAAATATCACGGATTCACAGCTTGAATTAGTAATCAGTTTTGCCTACGTGATCATTACCAAGAAAGTTATGGTAACTTTGAAACCATTTAAAGAGGTGTGTAAGACACCTCATAATCACTTATCTAATATAAACAAAGATTCACGGACAGAACAATAAGACGATTAGCCGGTGTAAGTAACGTGATTATTACCTTCAACCTTGGATAACTTGTGAAACCACTCGATAAAGGTGCTAACAAGACCAAATAATTTCGTATTTATCACCACCATCGGTTAACGGACAAACAACTCGTTGCTTGGTCAAGTGGTTATTTGGTCATAAACACTTGATTTACAGAGGTAAGTGGGATCACGTTACTCCAGTCGCGTGATAAATTGGTGGTTTTTAGGTTAGATGAAAACGTGAACAGGAGTACCTTTTTTTGTTTAAATGAAGGCACGTGTCGATAACGTTTAAATCTAGTTCAAAAGGCACCATACTTTAAAATCACTTAAATTACACTCCCAAAAGAGGTTACTTTTTAGTTTTTTGTTTATTGGGCATGTACTGGCCTTCTATGACATCTGTCCCCTTATACTCGTTTATTAAAGTGAGTGAGGGTTTGGATAAGATTAACCCATTGGCAACTGGATCCAGGATTTTCATGCATAAGGCTTATGGGAATAAGATAATTTCATTTCATTTATTTATTTCATTCTCCATAAAAAAAAAAAATTAAACATACAAGCATGACATACACGATATACGGATAATAGATCAACTACGGAAGAAGCACACAAAATTGTATGGGAATGTGGGGTTAACAAAAAGGGCAAGGGAAAAGAAAAGCAGAGAAAACCTGAACCCCAATACAAAATAAGAAAAAAAAGGGAAGGAGCAGGGAAGGGGAGGGCGAATACATTACAAAGTGCATATAATAAAGCGTAACGTCATTTAATTTGAGATTGAATACATTGGTAAAAGATGGTATTTATACAAACGTTTAAAAATATTCATTGTATTAGAGTTTTTCATATTAAACAGGATGTTTTTCCATAAAACTGGCCCTTTGAAAAAAACTGTATTTTTTAAAAGATTCGTACAGACTTTCGGAAAATGAAAATTACCAGTCTTACGAGTTTCATTGGAATGTATGTCATAATCGAATATAAATTTACATGACATGTTTCTTGGCAATAAACCCTTGCAACACATAAACATAAATATAGCAATATTATTTTTATCCTAAACATTTAGAAGCTTTAATTGTTGAAAAAGTTGCAATGTGTGGACATTGAACGGGGCATCGTAAATTATTCGAACAGCTTTCTTCTGTAATACAAATAATTTTGTCATATAAAAGTCTGAACCATTTGACCCTGTGATATTACAATAATTAATGTGTGGAATTATCAAGGCATAATCCAACAGAATCAAAATATATCTTGGAAAGTGTCTTAATCAATAAATAATACCAACTCCCTTAGCAACTCGGTTACATATGACACCAATGTGCTGATGCCAGGTTAATCTATCATTGATGTATTGAAACACCGATAAATTTAGTGAAAGAAACGCAAACTATATCTTGTCCATTGAAATGAATAATCAAATACTCATCTTCAACTTATCTATTTGTAAAGAACATAAATTGAGTTTTATCAATATTTATAACAAATTTATTATTTTAACAACCAATCATTGAATTCATGTAATTTGACAGTAAATGTATCTAATAACATGTTCAGATTGCTTCTAGACATGAACACACTGGTGTCATCTGCAAAAAGAATAAATTGTAAGATTTTAGAAGACAAAATGATATTGTTTATATAAACAAACAAAAGTAGTGGACCCAAGATAGACCCTTGTGGTACTCCGCATCAAATTAGCTTATTTGAAGATGTATGATTATTGATAACTACAAATAGAGGTTTAACAAATAACTCTTAATAATAAATTTCCACAAATTCCATAATCTTCCAATTTATCTTGTGTCGAAGGCTTTGCTCAAATGAAGAAACAATCTAACCATGTATTCTTTAGAATCGATAGCTTTACAAGCTTTATGAATAAATTTTTAAAAAATTCAAGAAGCGCCATCGATGTGAAATTTCCCGAGCAGAAGCCATATTGATTATCAAACAAAATATTACATGAAAATGGAAAATCACTCAAACGTTTGTATAAGCACTTCTCAAAAATCTTTGAAAACAAAGGTAAGGTGGATATTGGGCGGTAATTTTAGGCATAACTAACATCACCTGATTTAAAAACTGGGATTACTTTTCATTTGCAATATTATTTCTTAATTGTTTGTACACATTTACCTGTATTCAGTGGGTGACTTCAGGTACTTTTTGAATAAACAAACAAAAGTAGTGGACCCAATGATAAAATCATTTAGAATATTGAACATCATTTATTAAATTTTAACCAATATTTACAAAATTCCCACAGAATATTTCTGGTACTTCATCTTTGTCTATAGTTATTCTACCATCAACATTAATTTTATCAAAACATTGTTTAGAACATGATTTTGAACCAAGAGCTTCATTTATAGTTTTCCATGTTGCTTTTATATTACCCTTTTTGTTAGTAAATTTATTTTTTATAATATTGATACTTAACTTTTTAACTTTTCATTTGAAATATTATTTCTTAATTGTTTGTTCACATTTTCCTGTATTCAGTGGGTGACTTCAGGTACTTTTTGTATAAACGCCATTTTTTTCCTTATCTTTTTTAATAAATCTCTATTCATCCATGGCTTATCTATACATTTAGTTTTTATTGATATTTTATGCGAGGGAAAGCATTCATCGTATAAACATAGAAATTTAGCCAAGAAGAAGCTGTGAATAGCATTAGGATAACCTAATTTTAAATTCCTATATACATTTTTCAAACGTTTATTAAATCTAATAATATTTCTTTCATTAATAATTCGTTGAAATATGTCTTCCCTTCTCAATAATTCTATTAGAATAAGATATACTGAAAACAGGAAAATGGTCACTTATATCAACCAAAATCACACCACTAAATTTATTCTTCATATCATTTGTAAATTTGTAATACGAGTAGGGTTGTGAATAAGTGGGTACATAGCAAACGAAGTAAACAAAAATCAAAAAATAATTTGCATTATGGCAAGAGACAGTTGATAACAAATTGACATTAAAAAATCCCATTAAATAATTAATTTGTTTTAATCATTATTAATATTCAAATCAAGTCTTCGTTTATAAACTAATGTGTCTCTCAGTATTTCATTGGATTATGAACACAATAGATGCAATTGAGTAAATTACTTTGAATTTATTTACACCTACTTCCCAGTTCACTGAAAAGAAGGGCTTTGAAATGTAAATTAAGATATTTTACATTTTGTCAACTTTCAGCACGAGGCAATCTGTTCCTTCCCGTCGGAGACCTTCTACAAAAACAAACTGGAAACGGACTTGTCGGTCAAGTGCCGCAGCCCTGACCCCCTGAGAGCGATCTGGCCGAACAAGGGTCAAACCCCAATGGTCTTCTGTCATGTTTATGGCAAGGAGGAAACGATAACGGTCAAGTCGGACGAAGCAGGCGAGATGTCCAAGGGCAACATGGCTGAAGTCATGCATGCTGTAAGTGCCCTTCAACATTTTCCTCTTAAATCACATGAATTTTGAGATTAGATTTATGTCCCAAAGGAGCATGTGGGTGGGTGGGTGGGTGGATGGATGGATGGGTGGGTGGGTGGGTGAATAGATGGTGGGTGGGTGGGTGGATGGATGGATGGGTTGGTAAATGCTGGGTGTGTGAGTGAATGGATGGATGGATGGGTGGATAGATGGATGGGTGGGAGGCTGGATGGGTGGATGTATGGTTGGGTGGGTGGATAGACAGGTGGGTGGATGGATGGGGGGATGGGTGGGTCGGTGGGTGTATCATTGTTGGTGGATGGCTGGGTGGGTGAGTGGATGGATGGAAGGGTGGGTTGGTGGATGGTGGGTGGGTGTTTGGGTGTGTGGTTGGGTTGGTGGGTGCTTGCGTGGATGGGTGGGTGGAAGAGGGGTGGGTGGAAGGATGGGTGGGTAAACGGGTGGATATGTGGATCGTTAGGTGGATGGGTTTTGGGATGGGTGGGTGGGTGGATGGATTGGTGAGTGGGTGGGTGGATGGTGGGTTATGGATGGGTGGACCGGTGGGTGGGTGTTTGGCTGGATGGGTGAATGGATGGATAGATGGGTGGGTGGCAGTTTGGGTAGATAGATGGGTAGGTTGGTGTTTGGGTGGATGGGTGGCTGGATGGATGGATGGTTGGTGGGTGGATGGGTGGGTGGGTGAGTGGGTGGATGGTTGGTGGATGAATGGATGGCTGGGTTGGATGATGGGTGGGTGGGTGGATGGGTTGACGGGTGGGTGGGTTGATGAATGGGTAGCTGGATGGGTGGTTGGATGGTTGAGTCGGTGGCTGGATGGATGGATGGGTGGATGTATGGTTGGGTGGGTTGGATGATGGGTGGGTGGCTGTATGGATTGGTTGGTGGATGGGTTGATGGGTGGATGGATGAATGGATTGATGGGTGGGTGGATGGATTGGTGAGTGGGTGGATGGATGAATGGGTGGCTGGATGGGTGGTTGGATGGTTGGGTCGGTGGCTGGATGGATGGGTGGGTGGCTGGATGGATGGATGGATGGGCGGGTGTTTGGGTGGATAGATTGGATGGATGGATAGATTGGTGGGTGGGTGGGTTGATTGATTAGTGAGTGGGTGGATGGTGGGTGGATAGATGGATGGGTGGGTGGTTTGAATGATGGGTGGGTGGCTGGATGTATGTGTGGGTGGATGGGTTGATGGGTGGGTGGGTTGATGAATGGGTGGCTGGATGGGTGGATGTATGGTTGGGTGGGTTGGATGATGGGTGGGTGGCTGGATGGATTGGTTGGTGGATGGGTGGATGGATGAATGGATGGATGGCGGGGCGGATGGATTGGTGAGTGGGTGGATGGTGGGTGGATGGATGGACGGGTGGTTTGGATGATGGGTGGGTGGATGGATGTGTGGGTGGGTGGGTTGATGGGTGGATAATTGATGAATGGTTGGGTGGGTAGGTGGATGGGTGGGTGGGTGGGTGGGTGGGTGAATGGGTGGATAGATGGATCGTTGGGTGGATGGATTGGTGAGTGGGTGGGTGGGTGTGTGGCTGGATGGATGGATGGGTGGGTGTTTGGGTGGATAGATTGGTTGGTGGGTGTTTTGGTGGGTGGGTGGATGGATGAACGGGTGGATAGATGGATCATTGGGTGGATGGATGGGTGGATGGATGGAGGGTCGGGTGGGTGGGTGTTTGGGTGGATAGATGGGTGGGTGGATGTTTTGGTGGCTGGGTGGGTGGGTTGATGGGTTGATGGGTGGGTGGGTTGATGAATGGGTGGCTGGATGGGTGGTTGGATGGTTGAGTCGGTGGCTGGATGGATGGATGGGTGGATGTATGGTTGGGTGGGTTGGATGATGGGTGGGTGGCTGTATGGATTGGTTGGTGGATGGGTTGATGGGTGGATGGATGAATGGATGGATGGGTGGGTGGATGGATTGGTGAGTGGGTGGATTGTTGAATGGGTGGTTGGATGAATGGGTCGGTGGCTGGATGGATGGATGGGTGGATGTATGGTTGGGTGGGTTGGATGATGGGTGGGTGGCTGGATGGATTGGTTGGTGGATGGGTGGATGGATGAATGGATGGATGGCGGGGCGGATGGATTGGTGAGTGGGTGGATGGTGGGTGGATGGATGGGTTGGTGGTTTGGATGATGGGTGGGTGGATGGATGTGTGGGTGGGTGGGTTGATGGGTGGATTGATGAATGGTTGGGTGGGTAGGTGGATGGGTGGGTGGGTGGGTGGGTGAATGGGTGGATAGATTGATCGTTGGGTGGATAGATTGGTGAGTGGGTGGGTGGGTAAGTGGCTGGATGGATGGATGGGCGGGTGTTTGGGTGGATAGATTGGTTGGTGGGTGTTTTGGTGGGTGGGTGGGTGGATGAACGGGAGGATAGATGGATCATTGGGTGGATGGATGGGTGGATGGATGGAGGGTCGGGTGGGTGGGTGTTTGGGTGGATAGATGGGTGGGTGGATGTTTTGGTGGCTGGGTGGGTGGGTTGATGGGTGGGTGGATGGATGGAGGGTCGGGTGGGTGGGTGTTTGGGTGGATAGATGGGTTGGTGGATGTTTTGGTGGCTGGGTGGGTGGGTTGATGGGTGGGTGGATGGGTTTTGCGGTGGGTGGGTGGGTTGATGGGTGGGTAGGTGGACGGGTTTGGCGGTGGGTGGTTGGGTGGGTTGATGGGTGGATGGATGGGTGGATGAACGGGTGGAAAGATGGATGGTTGGATGGATGGGTTTTGCGGTGGGTGGGTGGGTGGATGGATTGGTGAGTGGGTGGGTGTATGGTAGGTTGATGGATGGGTGGATGGGTGTTTGTGTGGGTGGTTGGCTGGATGGGTGGATGGATGGATAAGATGGGTGGGTGGGTGGGTTGATGGATGGTTTGATCGATGGATGGGTGGCTGGCTGGATGGATGGATGGATGGATGGATGGGTGGGTGGCTGGGTTAATGGGTGGCTGGATGGATGGGTGGGTTTTGGGGTGGATGGGTGGATGGATTGGTGAGTGGGTGGATGGTGGGTGGATGGATGGGTGGGTTGGATGATGGGTGGGTGGCTGGATGGTGGATGGATTTCATGAAAGCTATGTAATCATTTTTACGCACCGACTTTACATGATACACATGTGGGAGTATTCTTTTTCAATAATAATAATAATAATACATAACATTTATTAGGCGCTTAATACTGATGTTTCTAAGCGCACAGTGTTCTGATTAAGAGAAGACTATAACCCGTAGAATTAAATTAGAAGAAAAAGCAAAAATACAAAAGTAACATAGATAAGGTAAGAAAAACAGTGGCAATCAACTAAATAAAGACAAATATGGTGCGCACCTCCATTGACCGACGCACAAAGGTACACAGAGGGTACACAAAGGTATTCATAAAGCACTCTCATCATTTTGACATTGATTATTCTAAAATGCACAAAGTGGGACTTCTCCATGTTTAAAATACCTGTGGATACGGTATTTGGGGTCATTTGTTTAGTCGTGTGCTATCTCTGAACTTTTCTACTGCAATAATTTTCTGTTGGTAAATAAATAAAAACAAGTTCAAACAAAGCAAATAACCTCTTCTTGTGATTTTCAGACAAGAATAGTCAAGCAGCTGCTACGGAAAGGAGCTCAGGCCAGTGACATTGTGGTTCTGTCCCAGTACAAGCTACAGTGCTCACAGATCGAGGAGAGGTTAAAGGAGTTAGGTCACAAAGAGGTCAAGGTCAATACGGTCATCACTAGTCAGGGTGAGTATAAAGATATACATGTTTATTGAAACTTTACAGCCCCGGCCACTGCACTACTTACAGCTACTTGCGCCCTCTATATAGCAAACAATGCCCAATCTGTGACCTTTGGTCCCCCATGGTCCCCTTTATGTTAATTGAAAGCTGATATAATGAGATGACCAAGTGTCAGTGACCATGCAGGGAGGTATAATTGCCAAACTACCGCAGATAGGCTTTAAAATGTGTCTTAGATGTGTCATTTTTATACTCTACAGAGTAACAAACATGAATTTCTGACAAGTGCTGGCCTGATTAAAACCCGATTTAAATCGGTTTCCCGATTTTTTTATTTTTTCCCGATTTTTTTTTCTTCTTCCTGATTAAAAAAAAAAAAAAAAAAAAAATCCAGATTTTTTTTTTTTACCAGATTTTTTTTCTTCTTCCCTATTTTATCCTGATTTTCCCGATTTCCTCCTTATTTTCTCTATTCTTCCCTATTTTTTCCCAATTTTCTAAATGTTTCCCAATTTTCTTACTCGAAAAGGGGAAATGTTGTTAGATGCAATTTTTTTCCCGCGAATCCTCTTCTTTTTTTTTTTACTCAAGTGGGGCGTGGTTGAGGGGAAAACAAAAAAACTTTTTTTTTTAGTGCTCACTATCACCCCTGCAAGTGACATATTTCTTCTTTGTTTTTTATGTGTATTTTTTTTGTGCAAACAATATCTTAGTCTTCTGCTTCTTACTCTGTTGTTTATACTGCAATAAATACCCACTAATATGTATCATTGTTACAGGTACAATAGTGGCTAGCAGAGGATAAATGATAAGTTCTTTTGTAAGAGTTTTTGGTATTTGAATATTGATTTTCCTGAGTCATTTATTCTATTTTTCCTCAAAAAAACGTTTGTTGGCCTTTGGAATAGTTCTGAAACTTCACAATGTAATATGTGTAGAAATTCACGTGCAATTTTGAATAAACTGACACACAGTCGTTTTTGCCCTTTGTGTACTAGTAAAACCTATGGACCTATGGGTCAAAAGATTATTTTTCCTTCTTATGATATTCGCAGGAAGTGAATGGAACTACGTGGTCATGTCAACTGTGCGTTCCATGCCTCAGATGGAGATTGATGATAAACCAAGCAGGGGATGGCAACGCAAACATCTGGGATTCATCATTGACGAGAACCAGATGAATGTTGCCCTGACTCGAGCCAAGCGAGGACTAATCATCATCGGTATGTAAACAAGTTATATCTGACTCGTGCATTTTCATTCTCTTTACCCTCTGAAGAAAGTTCTTTTATAATATAACACACATATTCCATAGACGCCAGCCTGAACTGAGCTTGAACTTGACATTTATCATCAAATAATAAACACATAACAATAGGTAATTTTTGTTAAATATATAAAAACATAAAAGGATAAAAGGAACCAGAAAATATAATGAATGCTAATCGAGCCTGGCACCTTCGAACATGAAAAACACTGTTCGGGTACCGGTATATAGAATAAACAAATTTGGAAAGTAACATGTATTAAAGCTAATTACAAAAAAAATTATAGCACCATTGTATAAATGGATGAAAAAATTGGATATCAAATACATAGCAGTTTATTATTTTCATATTGGTCAGGGGATTTATTAGATGCACAGACCTCCTTTCCCTTTTTTTTCTTTACACGTGATGTAAACCTTCTCTTCTTACTGTAAGCCTGTACTTTGCCAACCCGTTCTATTTTTTTTCATTGTGATGAAAATGCTTGTGGTATACTGAGTAATGATTATATGCTCTCTCTCTCTCTATTTGTTTAAATGTTGCTCCTGTTAGTTTTGTCAATGTTTATTTTTTAGAGAGTTTTAGTTTATTTTGAGAATTGTTCGATTATCACTACCATAATTATATTTCTGATATATTTTTAATCACAGTATAATATCAGTGATATTGGTAATGAATCATTGATTTGCATATGTACCATAACATGTGTATGCACTCTACCTGTAGATGTATGTATGTATTCATTTAATAATTGATTAGTATTCATCACAACTGAGACCTCCTTTACTCATCTTCAGTATTTCCAATCTTCTTCCTGTAGGCAATCAACACCTCCTGGAAACTCATCCAAGATGGAGGGAACTACTCAAGAAGTATCGGGACCTGGGCTGTGTCATGGAGGCCCGACATTTCCCACCTTATGGTACTAATTAACCGTTGCTGCTCTAGGAACAGGACTAAGTCATGGGTGCAAAGTAGTGCTCACTTCATAGCTGTTGATTAGACCTGTCCCTTCTTTAGTGTTAGGACTGTTCTGGAGGACATGCAGTCTCCACCTGATTGGTTCTCGTTAGACCTGTCTCCTCTCTAGGACCAGGACTATGCCATTGGGGCTAATTAATTCCAAGCTTAGTGTATGACCTCTGATATTAAAGTTATTAGTTAGGTTTGTTGATTATCAGGGATAAACTGAAATATAACTAGTCAGTCTTCTTGTCTTAAGGTTCTGCCAAATATTTGGGATGTAATAGAAATGATCATGGATTAGAAATGTAGTATCACAATGTGCTCTATTTTATTCTTATAATGTTTACTTTAAAGAGAAGCAACTCCAAAGCATTAAAATCTTGATTTTGTAGCTTCTATTTCTATTTGTAGGTTTATATTTCTGTTTGTCTTAAAAGCTTTTGTTAGGAACATATTTATCTTTCATTTTGATATCATGTTCATGTACTTTTAATCTTGTCATTACAATCATTTAAGTTTAAGTTGAATTAAAAAGTGTAATTGAAGAATTAGATGAGGTAAGTTTACATGTACACATAGAACCTTTATCTGTAAATATGTATATGTACATTGTAGGACAAGACCGAGTTAACGCTCTCCTGGTACTTTACAGACAATACATTTCCAAGGTCACTTTGCCATGGTATGGAGGCAAAATATGTCTGTGGAAAGAATGGATGCATGTTCATATATTTCTATCAACGTACATGTATTGTGGACAGTGTTGGCGATACACAATTTATTGTGCAACAAATGATACACTAGATGCTGCTTATAAGTATCGGCTTGCATGGTCACACGGTGCAACCGCAAGCCTTCTGTAAATGATACACTGTCAGTTCATTTTTACTTCCATGCTGTTTTTTCCCCTACAGAACCTTGATGATTAAAAGTGTATGTATATTAAATATGTGTGTGTTAAGGTTGGTTTAGTATAGATTTATGGAGTGTGTGTGACTTTGTTACCATTAAACTTTGGAAGCGGACGGGAAAGTTTATAGAAGATATTTGAGGTATCAAGAAATCTTTCATTTTTGTATTTTGTGTACTAAATAAATTATTTTTGTATCATTTACACACCAAGTAGCAAGTACTGCAATGAAGCAGTCAGTGCCATACATAATGAGTGTACACAACAAGGGAATCTCTAATATAGGGGTCTACTTTTGTGGGTTTGCATGCATACTTAAACAAAAAATGGCTTTCTACTGAAATAATGACATCAACATTCCATGTAAACATGAAGAGTGCACTATGCTCTAAAAAACAAAACAATCAAAGGTCGAGTTGAGTTCTGTTAATGAAAAAAATGTACTGAAACAAAAGTAGAGGGATGCTGCATTCTTTTATTTTCCTATATCAATGAATCCAACAATGTGCAAAATATCGTTTGCATTATAATTATGCCCAGATATAGGGTAGATTTGAGCAAAGAAGTGATAGTTTGATTCTTGTAATCAGTTGCTCAAAATTAGTCCTGGCGTAGCTGAACTTCTCGGTTTTCAACAATACCAGACTGTTACTTGATGCAATGCTTATTATCAGATCTCAACTTTGCTTATTAAAAGCAAATGGGATAGTGGTCTGTTTGCAGGTTTCCAAACACTTTCATTCCAGCTTTAAAAAAGATCAGCGCAAATCCTTGTAATTTCTTTGTTTAAGAAGGCTGAATATGTTGGGTTGCAACGTAAATAAATGACTTTACAGTGTGTAATCTACATAGGAATAAATGTTTGTATTGTTAAGCATTTAATTCTGTGTGACTTTGGTTGGTTTTGTTTGATATTCATATGTTTCACAAGAAATGCAAAACATTTACCAAATTTGTTTTTGTAGTGCTTAAACCTTCACTATATATGAAGCTGTTTGGTAGTGTAAGTTGCTTAATACTACTGCAGTTGTAACTTGTCAGTGATTTATTTCACTTAATTTTGAAAGAGATTTCTTGTCAATATAGAAGCATAACATAAAGACTTGTGTCACACAAGATAATCAGACTGGATTACAAACAAACCCTTATCCTGGTCTGTAAGTTGATCAAATACATCAAGTTCCATATTAGAACATCTGCATTAAATCGAGCAGATACTTTAAATAGTTTGACATTATACAAAATTGCAAAGGAAATATTCTTGTTTTACAAATGACACCTAAACCATTTGTTTAATTCTTTACTCGAAAGAGAGCCTTGAAAAAAAAGATTATACACCTGCACATACTCTCCATATAATGATATACTTTTCCCTTTTGTAAGTTAATTTGTAATATTCTTTTTCATAATAGGTCATAACTTATATCAAAAGAAAGAGAAAGAGACAAAGAGGCCTTAGTAATTGCCATGTTCAACATTGTTGCAGCTGGTTGAAGTGCGATTATCCCTTTTTGTTATCATTTTGTTATTGCAGTACATAATATTTATCGTTATACATGTAGACTTTAGTTACTTGAATATTTTTGTTTTGTAGATAAAGCCAAGACTCTTTGATTTTGTACTTTTTTGCATAATTATTCTGTAGATAACGTTGATTCATTTTTTGTCTGCATATATACCTAAGTACATGTACTACATGATGTAGTTTAATATTTCTTAACTTGTAGATTCAATATGTTCTATACGTGTACTTGCTCATTGTCACATCAAATGTGGAATATTCTGTTTATACATACCATTACTATTTATAGTTTTGCATACGAAATAGCCAGGCTATTGGGTCGTTACTTTAATACAGAGATTAAGATTCTATGTTGAAGTTAAGCAGTCACGAATATTAATATTAAGGTAAATGTCAGTTATGATTGTTATACAGTGTCAATTTAGGTTACAATATAGTGGAAAGACAAATTAATGCTAAGTAATGTAAACCAGTATTCAGTTTATCGTAGCAATTATAGTACATAAATTGGTTTCTTGCATCTGTTGAAATACACTGATTTTGTTGTGTGTGCCGAGATTCAGAAGGGGGTAACTTAAATGATATATATGGTTTAATGCACTTCTGGATCTCAGCAGATGATTTCTCTTTATCAAGCAAAAGTATACATAAGGCTAGCATCTTGTATGTTGTACATGTACAGCAAAACCTGTATAATTATATATACCATACAAATTAGACCATAAAAGGCAGATAATCTTTATCTGTATGCACAGGTAATGAATATGTTTCAATGAGAAAAGAGAAGATGCAGTCTTTACAGACAGGTGATCTTATTATAGAAATCTTTCTATACAGATGGTTGCCAAAGCAGTTTTCACTATATATGAATGTGTTTATGGAGCAATTGTATAGTCGAAGACAAAGATTTTAAGATATTCAATTCTTTTTCACTTATCCTAGATCTTCATGGTAAATATATAGGTTTAGTTATGCACATTGATTGAATAGGTATTTGATGATGACATAAAGTGTACTACCTTTCACATTTCCTAACTTCACATCTAGGCTAGATTCGTCACATCTAGGCTAGATTGTTGCAATTACCTTCTCTTTGGTCTTCCTGCAAAAACAACCTCAAAGCTCCAGTGTATCCAAAACACAGCAGCTCGTCTTGTTTCTTGTGTTCCTTGTACTTCTCACATTATCCCTTTTTTTCAAAAACGTCACTGAAAAACTTCTCCTTTCAAGACTTATCATGGTTTCGCTCCTTCTTATCTTTCTGAACTCCTTTCTCGATACACTCTTGTCCGGACTTTGCGATCTTCTTCTCAATCTCTCCTCTCTCGGTCTCACACCGTCTCTCGTTTATGCAGCTGCATTTCTTTGGAACAATCTTCCCTTTCAAATTCGCAATGCTAGTTTTTAAATACATTTAAATCAATGCTAAAAACACAACTCTTTAAAGTCTTGTTCCTAAATAGCCCTCTGACCTTTTGCCTTTCATATTTTTTGTAGATTAACGTAGGATACCATTAATTTATGAACTATTTGTATTTTGGTTGTAAGTGATTTGTAATTATGTACATGTATTATTTTCATTTGCAAAATTTTAATGTTAATTGATTTGATGTCATTTGTAATGCAAATTCTGTTTCCTTTATTTATCAACTATTTTCCTTCTAAACCGCTTAGAGGCTTTATGCAATTTGTAGTAGAGAAATATCTTATTATCATTATTATAACCGAGAGTTAAGTGTCTATGCGCATTACTTTTGTTGCACGCAGTTGCGATTCATTTACAAATTAACAAAATTGCAGTGGCTTTTTTTCTTCAATGTGGCGGTATAAAAAGTTATATATCAACAAGTCTTAATTGTTTCTTAATAAAGGTTTTAATATTCTTCAAGTTAATATCATACATGCAGTTCTGTAGATGATAAAAATCAATGCCTTTAAATATAGCATTTGCAAAGTAGCTTGTAAATGTACGCTGTAATCACATGAAATGCACAGATCATTGATAAAGATATCACGTTTAATGGCAACCTTGCTAATTTAGGAGATTTAGTTGCTGCAGTAGAGATATCAAAGCATGCATTCTGATTTTAAAGAAAGTTAATGTACAATATATATGTAATATGTGTAGGTTAAATATAAAGGCCACATGTGGCATAAAGCAAGCTTTCTCAATAAAAGCTTGTTTCATAGACTTATTTTAATACATTGTAAACTGGAGATGAACCTAGTGTTATCAATGCAGCAGCTTTCTGTAGTAAGATTATGTCAGATGTTATGATTAAGTTGAAAAAATGGTTGTTTTTGTGTAACTCAGATTAAATATATTGAAGGGATGTCATTTTAAGAGTGGTCTTGTGTTGATTTTGTTTTTCGGTTTATGTTGATATATAATAGTCATTATTTATTGGTAGTTTTCATCAATTCTGAACTAAGATAGTTATACTTTTACATGTAGATGGAAGAAGGGAAGCAGCAAGTTATCATTAATGACATTACTTCTGATCCCGCCTTGCTGTATAGATTGGGTGTACCTCAAGGGTCTGTTATTGGCCCTCTGCTATTCATCTGTTACACAACTCCCATTCAGGACATTATCCACTCCCACAGCTTCTCTCCGATGATGTATGCAGATAACTCCCAACTATACATCACTGCTAAACGTAGTGACATAAAATACACATAAACTAGATATGAATTATACACCGGTTCATTGTTTCAAGACAGTGCATAATTTCCGAGTTATTCTGGACCACCATCTGTCTCTGCGCAACCACATTAATACCGTGTACCGCAAAGAATTAATTTGCTCTTTTTTTAATCGAAGAATAGGCAAAGTCCGCACATTTTTTAATAAAGCTTTAATTAAACTGAATTCTCATGCACTCTTTCGTATCCTCACTTCTGGACAACTGTAATAGTCTCATTGGTATTTTTGATAAAGATATAAACAAATCGCAAAGGATTCAAAACTCTGTCGCACGTCTGCTCTCCCTGCAAAAGAAATGTCAACACATAACACCCATCCTCAAAGATTTACATTGGCTCCCAGTTAAATTCTGTATCCAGTTTAAAATTATTTTGCTAACATTCAAATCACTCCATGGTCTGTCTCCAAAATATCTCGATCTCGCTCATCTTGTCTTACAATGTGTTTCCTCGAGTTATGCATTTTCAAAACCTCTTGGCTAAGGGAGGCAAATGGTGATAGAGCTTTCACTCACATAACACCATTTTTATGAAATTCTCTCCTGAACTCCCTACGTTGTATATCCAATACTGAAACATTCATATCTAAACTCAAAACTCATCTTTTTAAATTAGCATGTCAATAGTACTAAAGGATAAGTAATTTTGTAATTGTTCTCTTTGTAAATACGTTACTGTTCTCAATATACTGTATGCTTTTGTTTACTCATCTTCCTTTTATGATCGTATTATATTGTATATATAAATATGTAGATTGTAAAGCACATTGAAATGTCAACAGACATGAAATGCGAAATAAAAGAACAAAGTATTATTATTGTTATTATTTAAAGCTTCCTCAAGATCTCTTTTTCCTTTTGGTTACATGTACATGTTGCTCACTTGTTTGCCTATTCTCCCTTTTCTTCATCTCTCCTAGTTTAATCTCTTAATTCTCTCCTTCACTTTCTTTGTCTTCTTTGGTCTTTCTACTTTGCTCTCTTTCTCTCATTTGCTACAATTTTCTCTTTTGCTCCATTTCTCTCAATTGCTACAATTCTCTCTTTGCTCCATTTCTCTCAATTGATATCGATATTGATATTGATATTTTCTATATCTCTCTTCATTTTTTCTCCATTACTCTTCTTCATTTTATTTCTCTCCTTTGCTGTTTCTCTCATTTGCTTTATTTCTCTCTTTTTTATATCACACTGTCCTTTGCTCTATCTCTCTTTCACTTTCTTCCCTTTGCTCAGTAATTCTCTCCATCACTTTCTTTTTCTCCATCACTCTATCACTTTCGCTGTGTTCCTCTCCTTTGCTATCTTTCTTTTTCTCTCATTCCATTTCTTCACTTCTCTCTCTCTCTCTCTCTTATTCTCACTTTGGAAACAACAATTCAATAATCAAATCAGCATCATAGAACAAAGTATTTCACACATTTCACAAGATAAAAGCTTTATTAGTTGTACCTCGATAAATATCTGCACCAATAAAATATTTGCTAGACCTTCATACATCATGGAATGTGCATACCACAAACAATTAGTGCACGTTACATTTTATATGCTCTGTTATACTGAACTGGGAGCATGCCACCTTTATACAAAGGTAAATTGTAAACGATGCTGAAAGTGCATGCGGAATAGTTTACAAGGCAACACACGATTGTTTATGATTTGGTCTATATCTTGCTTCAAATGCAGTACATGTAAAGGAACGTTGAACAATGCCTGAATGTGCAACAAAAGCTGAGTAGAATCATAACTTTAATTTCACATCTCCACACAGAGGTTTTTGGCAATGATTGATGTAGTGTAGTGTCCACTTCCACCTGAGAATGCTCCATGTAAACTGTACATGTATATTGTAACATTAGGGAACTTACACATTTATGCTTAAATGGATCATTCTTGCCTAATCTGAATTGATGAGTTACATGATTTAAGTGCATTGTCACGGTGAGTAGGGTTTATAACCTAAATCTCTTTAACTGCGAAGCTTCTTGATGTTGACGTTCATTCATCAGATTTACTTTCTTGTTTTTCAATTTTTCACTAAAATCTAAAAGAGAAGAAGACATGATTACATTGCTACTTAAAAAGTTCAACTCTAGTCTCTGCCCACAAACTTCTAAATCCGGGAAATTTCGAAGTACATACATGTACATCTAGAAACATCAAATTTGATGCTTCATTGGGTTAATCAGTGAAAAACCCACGGTGATTGATATTATCAATATAGTATGAGTGACCATGCATGATAACGCCCTCTACCTAGTACACAATTCGCTTTAATACCGAGTACAGAACCATATGTACATGCATCTACAAGTCTCTGCACAAACATTTATGTTACACGTATCCTTCATAATAATACTATAAAAACAAGAAATAATGATCCCCCGTGCAAGAAGAAATTGTTTTACAAATGTTAGCCCTCAGGCCTTTGTCAATTTAAGTAATGATTTTATTTGACTTTGAAAAAAGTTATGCGTCAAAATATGTGCATACTATCCCTATCAAATGCGCGAAGTCTAAGGCGCGAAGAGAGGGGACACAAAAAATTGCGTCACACTTACTTTTTTCTAGAATGACGACAAACATGTACACGAAACTCACAAAGCATAGTATACCTGACCTGTGTATTTCTCCAGGTGTACATAACAGAGGTATTTTGAATTGCACCATTCTGAATAAAGAAAGAAAATGGTCCCACTCAAAAATATTCTGTGTTTCTCATAAGATGTAGCAGCATACCGATACTCAATTCTAATATTTTTCTAAGTAAAAACCACAATATACATACTGGTAGGTGTATAATTTGACACATTACTCGACCAGGCTGATTTCCAAGATAATCCAAAATAACAAACCATGCACTCCATAAACCATTCTATAAATGAGGAAGAATAATATATTGAATGGAATACAGGGGTGCATCCCAATATCTGAAGAGCATATTTCACGAATCGGGACGAGGCGAGAGTAATATACCTGTGCCCCCCACCCCCCCCCCCCCCCCCCCCTCAAAAAAGAAGAAGTATTGTTACTATTATTGTATGAAAGCTAGTATATTAATTGTATGAAAGCTAGTATATAAATTTTCACCATTACATCCTAATGTTGTTGTATGAATTGCACATTACATACACAGAGAATAAAATCTACATTGTTCTTACCCACATATTTTGCAGGGACTGCGCGAAAACATCCATTGTCTTAGCCTGTGCGTATATTCCGATGTGTATTCACCTTTTTAAACGTTCGGGCACCCCAAACTATGGGATATTGAAAATTTACTGCATGGTCATTCTGGTACATTTTCTTGAAGCCGATTTTTCAGGTTGGCTCAAAACCCTTCACACAAATGAGAATCATTTGTTTTCCTCTTTATTTTCCATAACATCCCAGAAAGTGTCTACTGGCAAATACATGTGTACACACGGTACACATTTTTATTACATCTAAGCTTCAACAAAAAGTCACATAATTCACAATAATTAAAATTAGTCACCATTCACAATTAAAATCTATTGAACTCTTATCTCTAAAACATGATCATACATATATAAACCTTCTCTAGATAAATGCATCATGATTCCATAATAAAAGAAATGCAAGTATTTGCATCTTTAACAATTAGATTGAAGTTAGTGCTTTTTGGTCATGCTCAAATGCAAAACATAGCTCACAAAAATGTCAACCTGACTGCCAATAGAAGAAAAAAATAATCCAATCAACAATTAAGGTCATTGTTGCTGCTTAGAAATATATGGATTAAGCACTATTTAATCATAACTAAATAAATTTAACTAAAGTATATCATTTTTACTGTATGTACACTGTAATTGCACACATAAATAAACGAAAATATGTTAACATATATAATTGCTTTCATTTTATCAATCAGACAGATTTTTCAAATGAAAGAAGAATGCAATAACATTAGAATTGAAATATTAATAAAATGAAATGTAATTTAACATATACCGGTAATCAAACATAGAGTAATATTTACTTATAAATGGAAATAACATTTTACAGAATTATGCTACATGCACAAGTTTAAAACAAGCCCAACTACAAGTAAACACTATGTTGCACAAATTTGAGCCAGATCAAGGTAACGTAAAATGTATAACATATAATACATAAAACGAAAGGAACAATATTCCTGACAAAATTTAACGGATAGGCTTAAAATACACAATCCAACATTGTAACTATAACTTTTCTGAAGCATACTCTGCTCATCATCTGATGCTTAACACTAAATATTTATAGAAAAATATATGCCATTTCTAGAACTAGATACTATAATTACTTGTATAAGGTATATGGTATAAATTAGCTTCTGTAGTATGTACAATGTACATGCATAGCAGAATACTTGTTATACATTGCATAATGTATGTGATACATGTAATTTAAAAAAAAAAAATCGCTGTATAAAGATCGTTGTAAACATCGTCTAGTCTAATTCATGTTCTTGGTAATGAAGATGTACAATTGAACAGTGATGTATCACGGCTAGTTGTTACCAAACTACACTCATCATGACTGCATGAAACAAAAATGTTAAATTTAAGTGGCAAGACATATCAGAGGTGCATCCTGACTTTGAAATGAACGCTTTGTCATTGGCAATTGTCATTTTCATAGCAAAAAATGGACCAGTGAAACGTTCCATTAGGTACCATCTGAAAGCCTCTCACAGTGAGTGATTCAAGCCTATAAAATTCAGCATACTTAAAAAAATATCAGCCAAATAAAAGCACAAAGAGGAACAAATTGTAATATACAACCTTTAAAGTAGATGTGTATACTTGATAGAAATGTATCATAAGAACGTAGAAGGGTAGACATATTAAATCACCATCAATGTAGTACCATGAATGACTATTTAAATATATATATATATATATCAGACTATTTGTTTCATAATTTTCCATTTCTCAAAATGTGTCGGTGTACCAATACTAATGTGTATGTACAAGGCACACGCATGCAAGGCTCTTTCGTTGTGGTAATACATTATAGACACATGTATCTGAAAAATAGAATCATCTGAATGCAGGCAGATATACTATCAAAGGCAGATCAGTCTCTTTAATACAAAGTCTAGAATTACAGTATCGATGTTGGAAACTTTAAGATACTGATATAGGATTTTAGAAAGTGTTAAATGTAAGGTGCTATATCCCTCTTTAAAAGAAAGCTCTATACTACTTTAGTTTACATTCACCATGTTTTGTAATAGTCTGCACGGGCAGACTCTAAAGACACTTAAGCCTTGAGCTAAGCCAAAGCCTGGTGCACACTACACAATCTGACTACCGGTATAATCCGATTTTGGAAGAATATGCATTAGCATCTGATGTAGAAATTCAAACTTGTAAAATCCTAAAGATCGCAAGGATATGAACAGTCATACGCTTAATAAAATCTAAATTTCAAGGAATCTCAAGCTTCCTTGGAGAAAGGCTAAATCGACACAGAATCGTAGTGCACGATTTACTGCTGATTTTAAAAAAAATTCAAAATACATGTAGAAGGCTTAATTGTACTAAAATTTTAGTTGGTAGTCTCCTTATCATTAATTAGAACTTAAATCACAAGGAAAATGTTCGTTTACATTTCCATATCTAAAATAATTACTAATGACATTAGTATTGTATGTGCAAATGTTGTGAAAAGTGAGACAAAGTATTAAACATTTCCACAATACAGTATGTTATACTTGAATCACCAACATGAAAAGCTTGAATATGCATCCAGAACACAGTATACAATTATGTACTTTTTTTTTGGGGGGGGGGGTGGGGTCTCTTAGGGGGGGGGGGGTCTCTTAGGGCATGTTAATCAAGGCTTTGATCAAAGCAGACTCTAAATCTTGCTTTATAGGCACTGATGAATAGAAGGGGAGAAAAGCAAATTTAAAAGACAACACTTTAATATCTACTTTACGAGCACATTGTATAGCTTACAAACTCAAGACCCTCTTAGAGGAAATGGATATTAAATTATCAGCCTTAATAGGTTATCAGCCTCAATACAAAAAGTAATGCACCATTCAGAGGAAAAGGGGCACGCAATAATGAACAGAAATAACTCACTTTGTTCTACTTACATGTGCAACAACATGGTAAGGATGTAGAACAGAGATTTGCATACAACACAAGATGACGGTGACAGAAATGTCGTTGACATATTTACGGCCATCAAAAATTTGCGTAGAGTTTTTTGCATAAACCACTGACCTCTAGAGGTTATTTGGTTTGTTCACTCGTCAATTAAAATGGCGCCCCTAAACGTAAACTGATGTATTGCATCCTTATCTGTTGTATCCTTTTATTAAAGCTTATCTGTACATCTGCTGCTCATGTCAATAAAATTATGATGCTGAGGTAATTTAAATCATGCAAACAAGACCTTCAAACAGTAACTATTACACGTTTGTTCTATGTTCTAAGTAGATCTGCCCTCAAAATATACTACATGTTTGTTTAAATATATAAATGTGACCAAGCTTCAAAACTATACTATACATAAACATCTATAGCACACATATACAAACTGTACATGTATATATACATTTATACATGCGACAGTGATGACTGGCAGACATATCAGAAAATAGTACAAGCTCCAAAAACAATATGCAGTGCTTATGCATATATGTTCAGAAAATATATCATACAATGACAGCATTGAAATACATCAGAAAACATCTGAAATTACATTCACCACACTACTCTGAAACACATTTTATTATCATTAAAGTAAGATAAATATAATATAATTTGTAGATTTCTCTATTTTTGACAATTGAAGATGGAAGATTAACAAATGGGAAGCTCAAATCCCTAGGTCAGCTTCATAATGGTCCTCTTATATCATGAAAATTGTAATAACAAACTAAAAAAGATATTTAACTATTACATGCTACAAGGGTGTACAGAAATCATTGAAGTGAATTAAACTTGTGGAATTAGATATTACTTTATATTTGATAATGATTTGAATTTCAATTCCATGTTACTAAGAATGCTCAATACATTAACATGTAGATATAATAATTGTTAAAAGAATCTGGAATCAATGAATTTTATTTAACAATTTGAATTTGATAATGCTTTGAATTTTATTATGATATAACTTACAATGCTAAAGAGATATAATTTTGGTAATATTCTACATCAATAACTGTAGGAGATAGAAAACTTTCAAATGGAAAGATCATACCCCTAATTGAGCAATATCTAGGCCCTGTTTCACAAAAGTTACTTTAAAAAGTAATCATTACTGATAAAGCAAGGCTTGACACTGACAGGGGCCCAGAATCTAAGTCTGGACCCTCAAATTTCAAGATTTTGGACACAGATCTTTTCATCTCATGTATCTGGAAACCAATACATAAACATGTAGTTTAGTGTGGAGACCTGGAAAAATGCTATTGAAAGCACCGACTGTGACTGGCTGAAAGCAAAATAGCTACAGAATTGTGGCAGTTGTTATAAACAGCATAGTTTACAGTGAAACAGGGTCAACCAGACCAGGTAAAGAGTCCACTTTCACTGAACGCCCAAAACACAAGCAATACCCTACAAGATTTTGTTTTCTCCAGCAAGAGAGTCGCTAATAATTGATTCACAATAAAAATACAACGGCGAACAAGATAAATTTACCAACAATTCTCAATATTTTTCTTTACTTGCATTCTACATCAACAATCATTACACCAAAAACACACCCCAAAAAAATCCACAAAGATAGTACTACAAGAAAATATTTCAGAACTATTTGTCAGCATCTGGTCTTTTTTGAGGTTACCTTTTTCTTCTAACATCAGACACTGGGTCTCTGTATGTTAAACTTCAAACTGTATAATGTTGCATACCACCTCGACGAATGAAAATGTTTGCAGACATGAGAAACAAAGTCCACGCACAAAGAATGAGCATAAACTGGACAATTTTGAAAGAAAATCACTAGTTCAATTCAAACTATTTTTAAATGAACAAACATGCCAAATACATGTACATGTAAAAAATGTACAGGTATATCACTTGGTCACAAGATGGCATTCTGCAATGGAAATTTAATAGCACTCTTCTGAGTATCTCTATGACTTGAATCCTGCAACATGGCAGGAGTATCATGGGAACAATAAATAAATACTGGATACTTAAGTTTTCACCAGACTATTGTAAATCCAAAGACCTTAGCAAGCATTGTGATATAAATATTTCATTCCACTGTATCCTTTTGAAAGCACATGCCAGACGTAATACCCACCAAACAATGACATTCTACGATGAAACTAAATATACTTCTGATTTTCACCATGAGCTGAGATGTGCTATAAGACTAGAGAACTATAGAAACAATAAATAAACATTTTGACTATATATTCTACTCATTCTGATAAACCTGACACTGGGACTATAAAATAGTCACCTTTAAAAAAGGATAAATATCAACCTTAATATAACTTCTTTTGTTAACTTTAGCAGCTTAATCCCAAAGTTGGGTTTAAATATTAGTAGGAATGTGGTCTTGAGTTTTCACCAGAAGCGTTGATCATTTCTGAGCCGAATCATCAAAGCTTTGGTATCCCACCGTACCCGGGTCTTCCATGTCGCTATTGGTAACGAGGCCTGCAGTGTCGTGCATCTGTAGGTCAGGGCTTCTGGGCGTGACATAGACATAACACCAGGCCATGATGGAGAAGAGGAGGATGATAAAACCCATCAGACCGGCAAAGAGGAAGAATTCCATGGCCTGATAGAAAAAAAAATTTAAGAAAGATTTAAAAAAGAAAAAGAAACATGCCTCAATAATATAATACCTTATTCACATCACCCAACCAAATCCATACAGATTCCAAACCTACAGATTCATGGCCATTAGGATAACCAGGGCTTCACACTTAAGTTTTTGGAAGAGGGTTCGTAATCTGATTTGTAGTGTTTGTATGATGAGCGCTATGTACAAATGTCAACATGTTGTGTGCCCGGATTCTTGGTGCCGATATGTCCCAGGTTACATGTTAGTGTTGAGCCCTGGGATAATTTAAATGTTTGGACTGTGCATGTAGTAAGTCTTGTATTGGGTCTCCTTGGTGTGATCATGGTCTAACATGCAAGTAGTTAAACCCTTTCTGTGCCATGGGTGACAATCCCGGCTAAGAATAGGAGTGTTGAGCAATGTGTTTTGAGTAAGAATGGCAACCGTTTTTCTTCATTAAACAGAAACAGGGGCCTTCATGGTAAAGTTTGTTTCCATGCAAATCATCCAATACCCAAATGCACGATAAAAAACAATGTTATAAGACAAAATTCTGCACTTAAAAGTTCATTCATGACTATAACTTCAAAAACCTGGGTAACCAGGTCTGCTATCTTGTTCAACTATTCTGAAGTGCATGACTTGCATTACGAAACCAATCCAATCAGCAAAGAAATTGATAAAGTGCCTTTTTCCTTGCAGTGCTTTAAGCAGTTGTATTAGCGAGTTATGGCGAGTTGTGATGAGTTGCCTCAAAGAGGCACGCAATAACTTGCTAACAGCTCTTGTTGTAACTCAGGATAACTCACAACAATTTGGTATGGCTTAGTGTAACTCTTTACAACATTCCATGTCTCTCCTCGAATTCGCGAGCAAGTTCAAAATTTTCGCTGATTCGTTGCAACTCGAGATGAACTCGCCTACACCCGTAATATACTCGCATTACTCGTAACAACCTCGCGCTGCACTCTTCATAACTTGTAGTAACTCGCCACCTTATGAAGAGTGCAGCGCGAGCTTGTTATGAGTAATGCGAGTATATTACAAGTGTAAGGGAGTTCACCTCGAGTTATAACGAATCGGTGAAAATTTTGGAACTGCTCGTGACTTCAAGGAGAGTCGTGAAATGTTGTAAAGAGTTACGCCGAGCCAAACCAAATTGTCGTGATTAATCCCGAGTTACAAGAAGAGCTTTCGCGAGTTATTGCGAGTTCCTCTTTGAGGCAACTCACCACAGCTCGCCTTAACTCGCTAATACAACTCGGCTAAGTGGTAGCCCTGCTTTACACTTTGATCCAAGAAGATGTACATGAACGAAATATCAGTCAGAGCTTGTCTAATTTCTGATGAATGGCAGATTATGAGAATATGACCCCAGGTTTGTTTTCTTACCTGACTGTCAATAATTTGAGATTCAGCGATGATTACGACGATGAGGTTTCCAAAGGCTACTGTCATAAGCCAAGCAGCTTGGACACAGGACTTCATGCTGGCTGGAGCCTGCATCAAGTACAACCAATAAATACACCACACCTTGAAACTCAAGAATACCTACATATATGTAATAGTAAGTTTTACATGAATTCAACACCTCTCAATAACATATATACAGAAACAGATCTCCATCTGTGAGTTGGTGGACTTCACTCTCAATCAACACATTGCACTAACACCATAACAACTAACAACCTACCTACGAGTTGGAGAACTGTGAACTTTGACTGAAAAGAGAATCAAACACCTAACACTAACATCATAGCTACACCAGACTTGTGGCTAAGAAGAGAATCGAACACCTATCGCTAACACCTTTACTACACCAGACTTGTGACTGAGAAGAGAAATTAAACACCCAACACTGACACTGTTACTACACCAAACATGTTAACACCTACCTGTGAGTAGGAGAACTCCAGACCTGTGACTGAGAAGAGAATCTCTCCACAAGTGATGACAATATACTGAGGTATTTGTAGAAGCATGGACACACTGTTAGGCTGGACCTCTGTGTGTATGGCTAGACGAATCTATGTCATAGAGATCAAACAGATAATAATTATAAAGAAGGGCAATTCTCATTTTGAAAAAAAATGTTAGATGACTATTTGTGTGTTAATATTCAAACATTTCAAGTCTTTTGCAATCACGTAACCACACATGGATTGAGAAGGTTGAATATAAACCTGTTTGAAATATATACACTGAACACAAACAAAAATAAGTTCCTCTCAAAATTTCTTTGATATAATTTAAGAAATATTTTACAAAATTTAATCATTTCAAAAGTCATGTAAGCAGAATTTTTTTAACCAACATTTTGAGTGGTTACCGTATTTGTATCCAATGGATTATGATTTCAAAATGGAACCATGGATTCTCTCGCAGTTGATGCTCTAAAAAAAATGTTTTGGAATTTTGCTATTCAAGGAGAAAATGGTACTTACCGTGTCTGATTGTGATATATTAGCAGGCTGTATCAACAATCTGTAAATGCCACCCATCTTAACATCTATGTCACCCAGGAGGACTTTACTGGCATTTCCCACAGGTACTCCATACACACTGTACCTGTTGTCAACAAGCAAATGATACAATCATCATCATTAGATCACTGAGTTCAAAGTATTTTGTCCCATATGCATAATAGCACCTACATCAAAGATTTTAGTAAACCTAGTCAATGCTAAGTTGATGCCCTATTACAACTGGGGTGAAACCAAATTTCAAGGATAACAAGATACTACATGTAATTCATTCTTAAAACTACTATCATGTTCTTAATTCCATGATACCTGCTAACGTATGGGGCAGAAAATGAGGTTGAACTTGCCCAGTTACAGTTTGCACATGATAAGATAAAGGTTTACACAGAGCTTAAAGTAAATCCACTTTCATCCATTTTCACAAATACATGTACCGGCAAATGGATTGAAATGTAAAGCCCTACAGGGTATATCTTTAATACTCACTGTCCCGGTTCGACATCCAGAGATGAGCTGACATTGTTGAGTAGAACATGTGTTCTATAAACCCTCAAGGAGTCTTCAATCGAGACAGTCAGATTATAAGGTAGATTGGTATCAGATATGAAATATCCCAAACTAGAAAAGAAATTGTTTGAAAACCAGAACAAGAAAATGGCAGTGTGTCAAAGGTATTATTTCTGATTTTTTTTTAATGGGAGACAGTCTGTTTAATCAGAAGCATACATGCTGTATACACAAATGCGTTGCTTTCACTTGCCCAGTAATGCAGAACGGTTAATCCTTTTAATGCCCAACGCACACTATACAATCTTCCGGCAATCCGATTTTGGAAGAAATTGAAATGATTTCACATAAACATATTTTACAAGCATCACCTCCCTGATGTAGGTTCTAAATAATGATAAAATATAACAACCAAAATTTCAGTACATTTTAAGCATTCGAGTCAGAATAAAAGCCGAATTGGCTCCAAGCACACTACAAATCACACTACTGGTACATATGATGTCACTACAATTCTCAGCTTATCTAGTTATTCCTCATCAAAGAAAGCTTGATATCCATTGAAACTTTAATGTTATTAATCATATAACTATTCAAATTGTGGATTATTAAGATTTTAGAAGTTTTAGAATGTTTATATCAATCAAATGAATACAGCTTCTTCCACAATCGGATCGTAGTCAGATCTTATAGTTTTAAATTGGTGGGTTTAATGCAAATGACAAAAAGTTTATACATGTGGAGGACTTGATGCACTATACATGTTTGTAGTTAAAGGTAAAGACCAGTTCTGGTCATGCGATTGCATTGTAAAAAATTGTTGTGGAATCGATCAGAAAAGGTTGATCATCTAGCATATAAGTATTGTTGTGTACTGCAAGGTTCTGGAATCATCAAAATGATAAGAAATTTGGCCAAGTCTTGGTAAAGTTACAAGCACTGTACACAGAAAGATGTATATGGGACTACGCGACACGTGCGCGATAGCTACCCAGTCCGGATAGATATATCAATAAGTAGGCGGTTTCCCGGCAAAATTTGTAACATCACGTATTAGTCAAATCATATTCTTTAAACCTTTAAACTCAAATGTACTGACAGTGAACAAGGGAGTAATTTCTGTCTTTCAAAAAAAAATGGTGATTTGAATTTACACATCAATTTTGAAAAATCATAAGAACTCATCAATCCTGGTATGAGCTACATGTATCTCCTGATGTTAAGAGTTTTGATAACTCCTAAAATGTACATCATTATCAGATGTCTTACCTGAGTTTTCCCAGTCCTTCATGTGACTTTTCTAAATGACCTTTGACCTAGAGAGACAGATAAATGTATAAGGAAGGTTGTCATAAAAAGCAGTTCCATACAATTTAATCATTAACAACTCACATACAATGTACGCCATGTAATTTAAGTGGTACAGTGATGATGTATTGGGGGACTCATAGTGTCGTGTGTCTAAACCTTATAAATTTGCTCACTGTATTTTAACAAATATTTCTATTTCACTCAGAATTATGGTTTTGTCTAAGTCTCCCAACAATTTTCTTACAGCATTTTGAACACCGTATTTGCCAGCGATAAGGCCGCACCGCCGCATAGGCCGCACCCCCAACTTTGACATTTCAAAGAGGGAAAAAAAAAGAAAAAAGGAACAAAACAAAATAATCATAATTTTCTCGAAAACACTATTTTTTTTTTACAAACTGATACCAAATTCATCCATATTCTTATAATTTACCGGAAGTTTAGCTAAAAAAGTGATCGCAGGCAGATTTGGTGTCCGATATACCCCTACCACAATGTACGGTGTAATGCGAAACTGCATGAAATGAAAAAACAAAATGGCAACTTCGGATGGATGTTCGGGGCAGCTCCGTTAGACTGTCCCTTCCTTTACCTTTGCAATGCATTGGCACGAACTTAGATCAAGATCTATTAGCAAATGTTGTGTTAGGACGTTTATTTTCGTCTTTATGTCAACAATGCAAGATAAAATTGTCAGTAAGATGTTTGGAAATGTCCTGTACCATAGTGGTATTGTTATTTTACCGTTCCTAGTCCCATACGTGCAAATTCATGTTGGTTTTGACTTTTTTTTTTTTTTTTACTCTTTCGTCGTAAAGGCTGCACCCCGACTTTTTCATATTTATTCTTCCAAAAATACTGCGGCCTTTACGCCGGCAAATACGGTAGTTATTTTTTCTTCTACAAATGCATGAATGTACTCATCCATTGCATATTGAAATATCAACTTCAACTTTGCAAAGGCCTATACAGGTTTACTCTCTTAAAAAGCTGTGGAAAAAAGAAAGTTGTATAAATATTTGTTTATAAAGCTCTATATATGTATTTTTCCCACCAACAGAAAGAGTGACATTGTGGTGTGATGCACATAGGCAGAGGATAAAATTTCACTCACCTGAAGAGCCTGGAGTTGGTTTGCTGAACTGTAGACTATGACACTTTCCACCAGCTGACTACCTAGGCTAGCGGAAAATGGTTGAGCAGTGCCTAGTTCTGAACAGCCAGGCTCAAACTTAATGTCGTAGTCTCCAACTGCAAAATCAATCTTCTTTGTACCCTGTGAAATAAGAAGACAGATTTGAGGGAAATAACAACAATAATAATAAGAAGCTTAAGTATTTTAACATGCTCAATACTATGTTTCTAAGTGCCATGGTGCTGTTAATTGTCCAAGCAGCCATTAGGTAAAGCATAGAACTTCTACCCGACAACGTACAGCACCAAAGTTACAATGTCACATAATATGTAATACAGAATAGCGATACAATATGAATTACAAAACGCATAGATATAAAAATGTTAATTGCTTACAGCTATTTCAATAATTTGCTTTCTAACATAGTTTTGAGAGTGTGCAGGGATGGAGCATTTTGGATATGGAGAAGGAGGCTATTCAATAATTTGGGAGCAGCGACAGAGAGAGACAGAGAGAGACAGAGAGAGACAGAGAGATAGAGAGCTCTGTCCCTGTAATCTGCACCCCCCCCCCCCTCCCTCTGGGTGAGAGAGCACAAACTAACAAGGCCATTTTAGGAATAATAAAGGAAATATCACAAAACCAATGAGGATTTTGCATGACTTACCCCAGCTACATCAATAGGTCCAGTATAAAATTTACTTTCCACATTGATGGGGCAAGGCGAGGCATTGATAACACTGACGACTGATTGGCCTGGACCTGGTAATGATAGCTCAGAACTCTGTCAATAGAAAAAAATAATAGTTATCATATATACCTCTAAATATGTTTCTCTGCCTCTGATTGGTCAAAACTGCAGGCATGAAATTTGCTACTTACTGATGGGCAGAAAAGTAAATAGTATTCACCGGGCATAAATGTAGTTCTACTTGCGCTTACAGTGCAAGAAGGCAATGGTTGCATGTGAAGTTGATGATGAATATTCGCAGTGAGCAAGTAATAATCTTGGACAGGTTAATTTTCCTAGACTCTACAAATAAATACATTTTGACAGGCATTTTTTTATCAAAACATCTTGTTTTTTAGAATTGACACACATGAAGCAGTAAATGAAGAAAAAAAAACTGCTTATTTTTTGGGTCATGGTAAAAACTATAGCTCCTACGTGATCTCTTAACTGTACTAAGCCTCTCAACTTTGTTTCAGGACACAGTACAGTTTCAAGATCACCTAGGGCAATAATTTTAGCTGAGCACCTCCAAGCAATCAATATTTGTATAATAAAACCATAAAACTTTCTTCAATTTTCATTGTCTGCTATATTCAGAAAACAAGCAATCAATTGCAAGAGCAAAGGCTTTCAATAATATGATAAAATACGGTAATAAATGATAAAGCAAAGAGTAAAAATGCAAATCTTATAAAAATGTGACCAGGGGTCTGTTTCACGAAGACTAAAATCGACTTTAAGTTGGACTTAACTATGGCAGGCCATTCATGCCACTAGTTCTTTTAACCATTCCTGGCGATGGTTTCTCAAGGGATGTTAAAATCGTGGTCACAAATCTACAGATATTACATTTTTTGATAGTTCATTATTGAAGGAAAAAAATATTATGTAAAGATCATAATTGAGAGACCAATAGTTAGAACAACTAGTCTTTGTGAAACACTCCCCAGGCACCACCACTATATGTATAATTGTTTTTAAATGGGTGATAATCTTACATCTATTTTCAATTGCAGGAAACCAGCAAAGACAAACGCAATGGCTGCCAGGGTCATGCCACCCGCCATTCTCTGCAGGGGTCGCTTTGGAACATTGCATTTGTCTAGGAGGGGGTAAATGACTCCTTCAAAGAGAGGGATGAAGATGAGGATAAAAACTGGATTCATGGCCTGTGGAATAAGGAATAGGTAAAGAAAGAAAAATGCAATAAAGAATTGATTACACATACAGTTGTAAAAGGCTCTTTCTTAACAAAGTACAAATGAGAAGAAAATTAAAATTAGCATATACATGTTCTTTATTGTACATAAGCAACTCTACTAAGATGGCTTTACAAGATATAAGGAATTAAACAAAAGAAACAAAATAACTCTTCATTTTTGTTCTACATCAAAGTTTTGCTGGACAATATCACACAAAACATAAAACATTTCTATCTTGAAGGAACATCCAACCGATACAAATACTGGTACATACATGTACTTTATAAGTATGTGTAGAAATTAGATCACGATTTGATGAGATGATTTTTGTGTATTAGATTAAGTTTAATGACAAGGATCTTTATTGTCTCACCTGCATTTGATCCGGTTTTATCTGGTACGAACCCTGAAATGAATGGTTGACATGATCATGATTAAAAAAACATTATAGATCTTGCACTAATAATTAGCAAGTATTGAACCACCTCTGTATACAATACAGTTGTATGTATTATATACATCTATATGTATGTTCATACATTGAAAAATGTATTCCATTATCATCTGTGTTACAAAAATATTGGAAACAACTTGAAGAGGAAAAGTATAATGTTTGGAAAATGTGGAGTGACATAACTTCTTTCAAAGACAAACAGTTACACAACAATTTGTTGAAGGATGTCTATTACCGGTATATGCCAAATAAGCCATAGGAATACATGTACATCTACCCGGTACATGTACAAATCACAGTAAACATCTCACACTAAAGGGTTAGTTAAAATTAGAGATCAGATATGGATGTACATGTATATAGTAGAAATATTAGAGATAAAGAAGTATGGTTACTTATCTCTGAAAGCAAAGTTTTATTTTTCTTCTACATGTATATCTTCACTAACCCATTCAGTGCTATGCAAATGGGGGTCTATTCGCTATTCATAAGAACCGTTATTCATAAGGTCCGCTATTCATGATGACCGCTATTCATAACGTGGAAATTCCTGTACTTCCTGGTCCGCTATTCATAATGGTAAAAAAGGGTCACTATTCATAAAGAAATAAGGTTCGTTGATCATAAGGACCGCTATTCATGACGTGAGATGAGGGTCGCTATTCATAATTCATATTAAGGGTCATTAATCATAAGGACCGCTATTCATAATATGAAATCAGGGTCGCTATTCATAATACGACGAGAGGGTCGCTATTCATAATACGAAATGAGGTTCATTACTTATAAGGGTCGCTATTCATAACACGGGAAGAGGGTCGCTATTCATAATACGAAATGAGGGTCGTTATTCACAATAGGAGAAGAGGGTCGCTATTCATAATACAAAATGAGGTTCGCTATTCATAATAGGAGAAGAGGGTCGCTATTCATAATAGGAGAAGAGGGTCGCTATTCATCATAGGAGAAGAGGGTCGCTATTCATAATACAAAATGAGGTTCGCTATTCATTATAGGAGAAGAGGGTCGCTATTCATAATAGGAGAAGAGGGTCGCTATTCATAATAGGAGAAGAGGGTCGCAATTCATAATAGGAGAAGAGGGTCGCTATTCATAATATGAGAAGAGGGTCGCTATTCATAATAGGAGAAGAGGGTCGCTATTCATTATAGGAGAAGAGGGTCGCTATTCATAATAGGAGAAGAGGGTCGCTATTCATAATAGGAGAAGAGGGTCGCTATTCATTATAGGAGAAGAGGGTCGCTATTCATACTATGAGAAGAGGGTTGCTATTCATAATAGGAGAAGAGGGTCGCTATTCATAATACGAAATGAGGTTCGCTATTCATTATAGGAGAAGAGGGTCGCTATTCATAATAGGAGAAGAGAGTCGCTAATCATAATAAGAGAAGAGGGTCGCTATTCATAATACGAAATGAGGGTCGCTTTTCATAATACGAAATGAGGGTCGCTATTCATAATAGGAGTAGAGGGTTGCCATAATACAAAATGAAGGTCGATATTCCTAAAAAGAAATGAGGGTCGCTAGTCATAATAGGAGTAGAGGGTTGCTATTCATAATACGAAATGAGGGTTGCTATTCATTATAAGAAATGTGGGTCGCTATTCATAATACGAAATGAGGGTTGCTACTCATAACAGGAGTAGAGGGTTGCTATTTATAATACGAAATGAGGGTCGCTATTCATAATAAGAAATGAAGGTCGCTGTTCATAATACGAAATGAGGGTTGCTATTCATAATAGGAGAAGAGGGTCGCTATTCATAATAGGAGTAGAGGGTTGCTATTCATAATACGAAATGAGGGTCGCTATTCATAATAAGAAATGTGGGTCGCTATTCATAATACAAAATGAGGGTTGCTATTCATAACAGGAGTAGAGGGTTGCTATTCATAATACGAAATGAAGGTCGATATTCATAATACGAAATGAGGGTCGCTATTCATAATAAGAAATGTGGGTCGCTATTCATAATACAAAATGAGGGTTGCTATTCATAACAGGAGTAGAGGGTTGCTATTCATAATACGAAATGAAGGTCGATATTCATAATACGAAATGAGGGTCGCTATTCATTAAAGAAGTAGAGGGTCGCTATTCATAATACGAAGTGAGGGTCGCTATTCATAATATGGTCGCTATTCATGATACGAAATGAGGTTCGCTATTCATCATAGGAGAAGAGGGTCGCTATTCATAATGCGACGAGAGGGTCGCTATTCATACTACCGAAAAAGTCAAAATGACATAAGCAATAAACTAAATGTTAATAAGAAAGCGACATTCTGGATAGAAGACACCCCATGGCTACAGCGTAGGCCGTGGCTGGGAGAAGAGCCGGGGTTGGGGTAGGCCACATGGTCCCAAACATTTGAAGAAAATATTTATTGAAAACTCACATTTCTGAAGAAAAAAAAGGCGTGCCCCAATAATGAACGTGTCCCATCATTCCGGTCACCAGCCCCCCCCCCCCCCCAAGTAAGCCCGACCACGCTGCGCCATTCTGCCCACCCTCCCGGCAGTATTCCCTTGGTACATGTACATACATGTATTAGCGTCAATTCTCGTCATTCATAGATGGCGTAGCCTGTGTGTGTTTAAGGGTGGGGGCCGTGGGGTTGTATCAGTGTTGCCTTCGAGCGACAGAGAGAGGGTTGTAGGGACTTAAGTTATATACCATATTCAAGCTTTTCGTAAATATACAATGTCGCACGACATATTTTCCATATAAGTAAGGAAGTTGGATATTCAGAATCAGATACGATTTTTTTTGCATCCCCTGTATTATGTCTTTTTTAAAATTATTTTACTTTTTAGCTTTGATAATTATAGACGTCCCCATACGAAAATAATATTTGTGTAAAAAGTAACTTTTTGTAGGACTTATGGAACTACAAATTATAAAGCCTTAGTCAGATCCAGGCACACAGAAGCTCTTCAATTTCAGCCAATGAAGAGTTTCAAGATTTCAGTTTTCCATGAATTATCATGCCTCAGGATACTAATAATCATGTTAATTAACCTAACTTGATTTATCCAAAAACTTGATCTCCTGAAACTTTCCTAACATCGAAAACAAACAGAGTTTGACCAGACCATTAGCCTATACACTGTGAAAAAGTTGGGCAATATTGTTTAAATTGGCGTGGGGTCCAGGGGCAAAGCCCTGGTGAGGACAAAAAGAGGAAAATGAGAGAACAAAGAGAGGGAAATGCGTACGCTTACCCTAGATAACACTGAGTGGGGGGGGGGGGGAGTCGGGTGAGAAAGGTGGAAAGACAAGGAAATGGCGCTTAGTGACAGTAACTTTCGAGCCACGGAATCAAATATAAACGTTAAAACAGCCCCTGCCCTGCAAAGTCAATTTTGTAATTAACGGTAGGAGGGGCCGCTTCACAACTCTTATTTTGCCCTTCATTTGGCTTCAGCTCATATAAACTCGCTTGAGCTTGTATTTGAGCTCATGTTGGTAGTAATCATGGACAGGGCGGCAATCCTGGGCCCAATAGGAGGAAACATCCCCCAGGAAATTTAGAAATATAGCTAGAAAGATATAATTATAGCGGAAAGAATGTACATATTGGGCTTCGATTTCCTAGAGTGCATAATGTCAGCATTCAACATTGCAAAATCTCGCTTGGTCGTTATGCCCCCTCGCCCAATAACACAAAACTATGATATGACACTCGGCCCACGCTCCCGGCCATGATTTATCCATGGTTGTTGCAATAATTGTTGTTCTTTTTCATTTCTACTAACATTATTGTGTGCTATCACAATCATGATTGTTTCATTTTCCCTTTAAAGCAGGCGCGTAGCCAGAGTCGAGAATGGAACAACGAATCATCTTATTTCTCTTATAATTGCATTAAACAATGAAAGGTCAAAGCTTATGCGCTTTGCGCACAAGGGGGGGGGGGATAGAATTCAGACAAGGATTAATAGTCAAGAATGGCACAACAAATCCTCTTTTTTCTCTAATAATTTAATGAAACATCAAAGCTTCCGCGCTTCGCGCCGGAGGGGGAGGGGGAACCAAATTCAGACAAGGAAAAAGGGTCGAGAATGGTACAACGAATCGTCTTCTATTGTAGATGATTAAAACTGCCCATATTTGTGACAGTGCGCACATATAAAATCTTTCCATACAGCAGAAACTTATCTTCCTCATGAAATTCCAATGGGACTCATTCTGAAGTTTACATATTCTGAAAAAATACTTACATCAACATACATGAATAAATATTAATGCTTTAAAACTTGCCCTACATTATATTCTTTAAACGAAAATAAATGTTTTAAAGCCCAATCGCACTAGTTTAGCCAGAAGGGATGGACCTCCATGCATGGTCATTGACAGGTGGTTATTTCATCACATAAGCTCTCAATTAACATAAGAAAAAGAGGATCATGGGGGACCAATAGTCACCGATTAGGCATTGTTTGCTACATAGAGGGCGCAAGTAGCTATAAGTAGTGCAGTGGGGCTTTAACAGCTTGGTGGCATGGCATGGATTAATGAATTTCAAACATGACTGACCAGTCTGCCATCCATGTGCTCTGCCTGGAGCGTCCATCGTGACCCCTGCTGGTCAAACAAGGCCCAGAAGAATGGAAGTGGTAGAAAGATAAAGAGAACGTGGAGTAGCACCTTGATGTCCTCTATCAGAGCAGCCTGTTGATGAAGAATTGACATTGAAATTTAAATTAAGTATCTACTATCCTCAGTACCCTGTATTATATATCTATAATATATGTTGAATGTTGAATAAATGTAGTCATCTGAATGATCAAAATTGGGGTTGTTATTTTAGCCATGCCCGTCTGACGTTAAATAGTTAATGAGAAAGATACCCATTGCCCCAGGTAACGGGTCGAATAGTTAAATTTTGCTGAAATCCCCACTGGTTTATGTGTAAAAAGTTTCTTTGTATTGTGCGAGTGTGGATACCATACAGTGCAGTGTGTGTGCGATTTCCGAATGATCGTAACATTCAGGCAACTTTCCAACAACGATTTACAGTGTCTCAGACTTTCTGTGGTGTTTTAACCAATCTTTACTTTAATAAGAAAAAGATAAGGTAAGATTTTTTGTGAATTCGGTATATAAAAGACATATGGACTGCTTTAATATTCGACACATCGCTGTTTCTATACTGGTTCTCGAGGACGTTACATCCCCTTGAGCCTATAGAAACAGCGATGCCTCTCATAGCAGTCAACTCATTTTACAGGTGTTGTGGACTAGTGGATACGTCACCGATATGTGGATCACAAGGAGGTTATCGGTTTGAGTCCGGCACTAAAAAAATGTACAAAACTAGAACTGCAAGTTCAAGACTTCACTTCCTGATGGTAGATTGCACATTCCTCCTTGTTTACAAATTTTGGCAGAGAAATAACTCCTTTGTAGATTTCTTGTAGATTAGTTCTGAAATTAACTCTACTCAGGCTTGCCATTGTTGTGAATACCACAGGTGTGAATTTCACAAGCATGGTATTTCCTGTAATGTGCAACCTGTCATTCAAATATACCCCAAAAGATTTATTACTTCTCAGTTCCTCTTTTCTCTCTCTCTATCTCTCTTCCTCTCTCTCTATCTCTCTTCCTCTCTCTCTCTATCTCTCTTCCTCTCTCTCTCTCTCTTTTTCTCTCCTTCTCTCTCCAAACATTGATCAGTAATAATAAGCACAGAAACTCTCCTCTTGTCATTCAACTTCAATACAAATGACAATGCAAAAACATTGATACAAAGATAAGAATTTTAAATAATACTCACGCCATATTTTTCCTCTGCCCAATCAAGCCAGTGCTGTTTCTTTTCTGGGCTGCTTCTATTCTGAAATCGATTCTTCACTGCAAACTAATAAAAAAAGTACCAATATATTGAGTTTCTATCTATTCATGACTTCATATACTATTTATGGCACAATATATATTAATCTACATGTAAGTTCTGTAGCACTTTCATACTACATAAACACAGATGATGCATATTTGTTTTTAAAAAGGGGAACAAAATAAATATAAATAAATAAACAGTAGCATGTACACTCTATATCACATGCTCTACCCTGTGAGTCAAAAAAAAGTTTACACCTAGAAAATTGCTAATTATTTTAAAACAGATCTATAAACAGTGAACACATACCACACAAAAATGATACTAAATGGTTCGGGTTAAAACACTCTTTCATAACATGTATAATAATTCACTGTTCATAGATGAGATTTTAAATAATTAGCAAATTTCTGTGTAAACTTTTTTTTGACTCACACTGTTCACTATATATGGTGTATTAAATTGTCCGGATAATACCTTTTTACCTCAACCACGCCCCCCTTGATTTAAAAAAAAAGGGAGGAGTCGAGGGGGGGGGGGAATGGCATCTAACAACATTCCCCCTTTTGAGTCAGAAAATTTGGAGAAAATTGGGGAGAAAACAAAAATCTGGATTCTTTTTTTTTTTTTAAAGAAATCAGGAAAAAAATTGGTTAATTATCAGGCCTGATAATAAAAACAACAACACGATAATAAAATCACAAGGAAAAAAAAGAAAACTACTCACTCCCATTGCTTTGACAACTTCTCCGACAATATTGCCAGTTGGAGGATTGTGTTGATAAAAATTTCGTCCAAGTATGAAAATTACTGCAAGGGATAAAGAACAAAACAAAAAAAGTACAGTAAAGACTATGGAAATGAACGTTGCACTTGTTTTAATAGCATGCATGTCTAAAAACACAATGGAATGATGCCTCCTGTAAAATGGGCCTCAGCATTGAACATAGCACTCAGATATTAAGTGTGCCACAATGTTCAAAATATCAGATATCAGATAGGTTTTTGATCTATAAAAAATGAGATATCTTGATATACAGTACAATGAAGATAAATTTCAATCTGGGTAATCATCACTCTAAAATGCTGTCATTATTTTGGTGCTCTCCCAGGGAAATTTTGGGTGTATTCCACCCACCCCTTGAAAGCATTTCTAATACTAACCCGTTTGGGGGTAAAATCCTGAAATGTTTGAAACTTACTGATGGAAACTGCCATAAGAACAGCAGGTACACCAAAGGCAAGCGTGTAGCAGTCGTTCCCAAAGCACTGGACGTCATGACGAAGGATCGGGGTCACAAAGGTTGAAAGTAGACTCCCAGAGTTGATGGAGAAGTAGAAAACGGAGAAAAACCTCTGGATTTCTTTTTCCTAGATAAATAGATGAAGTAAAATGGTATATGTATTTGACTGTACTGTAAATAAACCAGAACTTTAAGGACGTGAAACTTCATGATTTGTAAATGACAGCCATTTTAGCAGCAATAAACTTATACAAACTGTAACGAATCAGTATAGTGTTAATTGTGATTGAACTTTTGTGCAACATGTAACATTTACAAGATCTTTAACACAAAAATGTAATGTTGGGAAAGTCTCTGGTTTTGAAGCTTATTCCTGCCAAAAAAGACATACCAGTAGAAGTAGTGCCATGATTTTAATATATTCTTATTATTCTAAAGGAGAGATCAAATGACCTCGAACAGAGGAATTTCATGGTTGAGTTTTAATAACCTAAACAACATTATACTGGTATTCTATAATTGGCAATTGTTTACTTTATCCAAATCTAAGTTAATTTTACTCTACCGATAACGTAGACAAAAATGCAGTTTCATTGTTAAATACAATTCAGGCAAAGTTACAGCTTAGCAATTTTTAGTCGGTACATTGCAAAGAAGCTTCCTTACCAAAAGAAAAAACAAATGTTGAGAAATAAATGTTGATTGACTATTTGAACCAACTAGAATTTCATATCAAGAAACACTGTTTGTATTCTAAAAGAAAAGCTGAAAAAAGAGCACTGTGATTGAAAACTGCTATCACATGAATAAAGTGCATTTAGAACAGACAAAATTAACTGAAAACACACACAAAGAAAGAAGGAAAAAAAAGTAAACAGAAAGAAAGAAAGATAGAAAGACCAAACAAAAACCAGGAACCAACAAACCTGGTCTGCTTTAAACTGGTCTCCACCGAAGGCTGACACGCATGGCTTAATCCCACCGGTTCCTACACCTATCAGAAGCAGACCTATCGCAGGACCAATCCTGCCAGGAATGAATAGAAACACTAATTATGCACAATTTCATGTTAAATCTTCACTTCCCCAAAATCATAAAATTAACGATATCTCCCGAAATATTAGGGCTACAATGACGAGTTTATTTTCAGAGAGCTGAAAGTGGTCTTTGATTTTAATGGTATACCAATAGGATTGAAGTACTTTAAACCCTGATTTTCAAAAGGATTCATTTCATGTCATGTACCCTAGGGCTGTTTATAGCTTACATGTAAGGATGTCCAGTAGTCTGGGGAGGTAATGCAGTCAAGCACATGACTGCATTCCCTAACATGTAGATCTGAGCGATGTACACGATGGTCCTGGAACAAAAAACAAAACAACAAAAAGCAAATGATCAATCTACTAACGAGCAAAAAACAATCATCTGGCGTACATATGCACGGTTGTCAGGTACCAATATGGTTTTGTATGAAAGATAAATATTGGAGATGACAGATTGACAGTGCACTAGATTACATGAAATAAATGGGTACCTGGTAGGAATTTATTCCTTGAAATGCAGCGCCCGTAACAGCTGCACTGCTAAAGCCAGGGTAATTAGAGACTTCTGATAAAGTAAGTGTTATGCGCTATATAAGCAAGGATAATTATTATTATTATTACTTGAATACTTGATTTTTACACAAAGTCAAGTTCTCCTGACTTGCATGCACACTTGTCGAAGATGTCTATTACCGATAAGTTTAGTAAAAAATAATCAGGACAATATATTAAAATTATTTACTTTTTTATAGGTGTGCTTGGGTCTGATAAAAGTATTTAAAAAATTAACAAATTCTACAGACTTGTATATCAAATTCCAAAATGAACAAGCACAACAAGCATGTTCTGGTAATGTTTTTCTTATTTCAACTAAACTTAATATAAATTTGTTTCTACAATAATCACATCATTAATTTCAGAAAGGATCTATAATTTCGGAGGTACCCACTTGTACTTTCCAAGCCAACCATCGGCTATCATGGCACCAAAGATCGGGGAGAAGTAGCACAGCATGTTGAAGGAATGGAAGATCGCTGTGGATGTGTTGTCACCCAGGAGTAGTATGTTTGTCAGGTACAGTACCAAGATGGCTGCAAAGAATGCAAGATGAAAAGATTAATCCATTATTGTAAGTGGCTAAAGGGTAATATGTACACCTGTAATCCAACAAGGACAATTCAGTTTTCAATGACCAGGAATGATAGGAAGGAGAAGAGGAAGATATGGAGGCAAAGGAGAAGATGAAGGATGGAATGAGAAGAAGGAGGAGGAGGAGAAGAAGAAGAAAAAGAAGAAGAAGAAGAAGAAAAACAACAACAACGAGGTGGAGAAGAAGACAAAGAAGAAAAAGCTGAAAGAAGAAGAGGAAAGGAGGATACAAAGAAAAAGAGGAAAAGAATTAGTGGAAGATTGCTGTGGACGTGTTGTCACTCAGAAGTAAAATGTTTGTCAGGTACAGCACCAAAATGGCTACAGAAGAAAGCAGAACTGAAAATAACTTTTGATGGAGGAAAAAAAGGACAAGGTAGAGGAAGAGGGGGAGGGGAGGAGGATGGGAAGGAGAAGGATAAGGGGAAAGATGATGACGAGAGGAGACGGAGAAGGAGGACAGGAGGAGGAGGAGAACAAAGGGAGGGAAATATGGGGCGCCTGGGGAGGCACGTGGAAAGACAATGGGAGTAGGAGGAGGAGAACAAAGGGAGGGAAATATGGGGCGCCTGGGGAGGCAAGTGGAAAGACAATGGGAGTAGGAGGAGGAGGAGAACAAGGGGAGGGAAATATGGGGCACCTGGGGAGGCACGTGGAAAGACAATGGGAGTAGGAGGAGGAGGAGAACAAAGGGAGGGAAATATGGGGCACCTGGGGAGGCACGTGGAAAGACAATGGGAGTAGGAGGAGGAGGAGAACAAAGGGAGGGAAATATGGGGCGCCTGGGGAGGCACGTGGAAAGACAATGGGAGTAGGAGGAGGAGAACAAGGGGAGGGAAATATGGGGCACCTGGGAGGCAAGTGGAAAGACAATGGGAGGAGGAGGAGGAGGAGGAGGAGGAGGAGGAGGAAAGAGAGGTAAAATAAGAATTGAAAGAAGAATACATGATATTCATTTTGAATTTACTTTCATTTTATAATGTATCTTTAGATGCATGGAATAACAAGTACCTTTCATGCCATAGAAGGAGAACCTCTCGCAAAACTCTGTGCCTACGATGAAGAACACACTCTTTGGAAACCCAGATTGGCCCGTCACAAATTTCTGTGAGCAAATAAATGAGACAAGAAAAGAACAGTACGGTTAAATTCATATGAGTTTTGTTTAAATATTCTATTTTTAAATACCTTAATAACTATTAGAGCCTCAAGGAAGATGCAAATTCAGTTATAAATTTTGACCAATCATCAATCATATTGCCATTTTTTTCTTTCTAATAAAAGTGTCAGGGGTTATTTACTACAAACAGCAGGGCTTTAAATTAGTTGCTCGTTTTGCAATATAATTCTTAGTGAAGCCGAAGTACATGTATATATATATACTTTCTACACTGAATTCCAGATGACAAGATTGTGCATACATTTACAGTGTGTGTAAATATCTTTAAATATGTAATGCTACAACATAATAGCTATACATGTACATTGATGAGTTGATGATTTAAAAAAAAATATTTTGATTCTCCCAACATTTAGAGCAAGACCTAAATACTCTATTTGTGATACTGAATAATTGAAGATCAAGTGATCTTTAATAGTCCTGGTCATTTAAAAAACAACCGGTCGTGCATGAGTACCCAGCTCATTGACGGTAGACTTATTTTATAAACTGAAGGCAACTGTCTTATATTGCTTCTAGTCTATTTGTTAACACCAGTTAAAATCAAAACTAAATATTAAACTATACAAGTCATGGTGTCCTGCACTAACCTTCAACCTAACATAAAACCCAATTGCAACCCAAGTCCTATAAATACCAAGTCTCTATTTGACAAAATAAAGCCCAAATAGGCAATCAAGTCTTTTTCTTTATTTGTTTCATCCAAAAGAGAAAGATATGTTGACATGAACGTTATTCAATGTTAGTCATACCAACACAAATTGTTAGTCAATGGTCGTATCAAGAAATTTTCTTTTTTGGATGAAAAAAAAGGATAAATGCCATATATATGCCATATATATGCCGTATGGAAACCAATTGCACAGAATCACCTGTATGTTGGTTCACCAGGATTTCAATGTCCACTTACCCTGACACGACCCCATCCTTTACCACTGATGGCTTGTTCCTGTGGGCGGTCTATCAAGGAGCTCCCTGACATCATACAAATTAAGAGAAAGAAAATCACAGCAAAATGAGTATTTGCTGGTAAACACAAAATAATAATAACAGTGGGTTCTTATAGCACTCGTATCTGCCTGACTTTACATTCCTGGCGCTCCACAATGTTTACACCACATTTCAATAAATTCATTCCTGCAAGGACATTAATGTCTTGACAAAGGACATTAGTGCCGCATCAGAACTCGAACTTCAAACCATTAGATCTACAGTCTGGTGACGTTTCCACTTACTAGACCATGAAAACTACACATTTGCATGTCACAAGGTATTTGACAAAGAAGTAGGCAGTCATTGCCAAACTGACTCCACATCAACTTCAAACCGCCCTGTTCTTCTTGGCCGCACTGGTAATGCAGTATGTTGATTGGTCTGTTGTTGGGCTGGTGTTCGTCTTGTTGGTGTCACCGGGGTATTAAAGGTACTATGTGATGTCCCATTTGCAGGCCAAAAAAATGAAAAGGTTAAATTCCAACAGCATTTGAAAGATACTACTAATTTGATTAGAACTACCCTTAAAAAAGGGAGCTTGAAAATTTCTTTAAGTGGGAAAATAACGACTATTAGTTGTTGAATCGACTTAGGAGCTATAGAGCCAGTAAGTAATAGTCTGATTTTCAGACCATTGTACCGAATGGTCGTACATTAAATGCTGCGCAAAGATTCAATCCGTTTAATTTTGGCCATTACAAGAAGTGGGTTATTGATGTAGACAAATGCCCATGTACCTTTACAGTTCATTTTATTATCAAAGAAGAAAACAAGCCAGTCAGTCACTCAATAGTGTCTGAGACTGAAGTCTAGCAAGGTAATGGGTTTCCTTGCATAATTTAAATATTAGGACACTGCTAACGTTTAAATTTCACAGATAGGACATACATGTACATAACATATTCATAATTTCTGCAAAGTTCTACAGAATTTGAGGTTGGCTGCAAAAGGGACATATAGTACCTTTAAATTTGATTTAGTACAAAGTGAATACAGCAATATGCCATTGGCACTATTCTACCTAACATTACCTCCTCACAATACAAAAAAAAAACTTTTATTAGAAACTCCTGCATGTAATGCATACTGGTATCAAGTCTATTCACATGCACATGGCATATACATGTAAAGGTTACAGTATCTATACATAAAATGACTGCTGGTTAGGGATGTTCATGCAAGTTATGTACCGGTAATCATTAACCATTTCTTTACCTGCAGTATGACACAAAGGTGGAAGCATAGTTTTGAGAGGGCTAACAACAGTTATGAAGCACCCATACATGTACCTCCATTAAACTTCGGCAGTGATTACTCTAAAAATGCACAAAAGAGCTACTTCTTCATGTTTATAGGACCTGTGGATATTTGAAAGCCATTTGTGTTTGCCTATTCATGGCTTATTCATGCATGTAATCTGTGACTACATTGTACATGTCTGGGCACACTGTACATTATAACTGTACAGTAAACAACTACATGCATGCAGGGAGGTGAAAGAAAGGAGTCAAAACTCTTGTAATTTATTCAAACGATGCATTCTTGAGTTCTAAAGCATATAATGGGATGTGTAACATTCCACTTGGCTTTGAAGTTCCATGCTCCGAGCTGCGCTTCTACTGCAGTGAATTAAGTTTGGAGGCCAGGCACCAATTTCAGATTTATTACAAATATTAAATTACCGGCAAAATTTCAGTGTAAATTAAAAGCTTTATATGGGGATTGCATTGGGAATGCATCAAACAATTTTTCAATTTTAGGACTCCATGCAGTCGATCTTCTTATAATTTGTGTGCCAGAGTTGGTAAAAAAAATATTAGATCCTGACAAAAAGTCAATATTTTAGGATAATGCGCTAATTTGTGCATGCTTTAATGTCCCGTTATGTAATCCATGATTTACAATCTTTGATAACTTTAAGTTTGCTAATGCGTATTTTCCCGTGTTTTTTTGTATTTTTGCAGTTGGAAAAAAAGGATGAAATTACACAAGTTTGTGTTCGCTTTTTCTACTCTTTTATACACATTCAACAATGGATGAGAAATCATTGAAAGGAACAGCGAACAATTGCTGTGATACCATTTTCTGATGTAGGAATTCTAAATCCTGAAATTTCATGCGGTCTTTTATCCCACGACCTGTTCAACAGTTGCAGATTGGCACATAACTTTTCGGCGACTTGGAGCATGGGGTCAAAGGAGAGCGGCTTGATTCCAGTTCCTCTCTATCACGTCCCCGATGTGTGTAAGTTATTATTAGTCATACCTTTTAAGTTTGCAATCTTTTAAATATGTGAACAATTTATTTGTCCCAACTTCTGTTTCTTAAAAATGTGACACATATATATATATATGTTAAAAATATTCAACAAAGGCCCTAATTCAACCAGTCCACCTTTATTTCTTGAGTTATGAAAAATACAAAAAACATCAAATTTACATGTACAAGGGGTATGAAAAATTTAGTTGTAAATGGAAATTCAGGTCTCCTATACTAATACCAGTGTACATGCACAATATGAAATCTAATCATGAATGGTAGGTCTTCAATGAACACTACCTGCACAATGCATATAATTAAGTGATACATCTGGTATTTCGCAGAAGTCGTCGATGGTTTATAATAAACATGAATTCAAATATCAGGGTTTGACACCAACAGGCACTTGGGACATAGGAAGGTCAAAATTATAAGTCTTAGTTAACCTCCACCCCCTCCCATTTTGGGGGTTTTTGTTTGAAGTTTTCACATAGGGTTCGTACATACAAGTTGTAAAAAAGTTCAATCCAAAAAAGTAAGTATGGAGCCATGTAGATGTACTGTACATGCAAACTTTACGTACATGTGCTATATTTTGATAATTAACAGAATGGATGCATAAGTTATTTTGATAAGCATTAGTTCCACAACCATGCAAAATGGAGCAAAGCAGGCAACATGATGATTAACATGATGGAGAATTGATGTTTGACACATTACCCAGCGAGATGCCTGGACCGTCTTCTGCAGTCTCCCTATAATCAGTGCCCCCGCCCCCCCCCCCCCCCCCACTAATCATTCCAGTGCCCACTTAATGAGTGGACTCGGTCTACGTCACTGGCTTGGAGGAAATGTTAAAGCAAATGTTCCATCACCATTCATCTGACGGAAGAAATAAAATTAATGAGTAAAGAAGAAATAAAATGAACAAGTTTAGAAGAAGAAAAGTGAACAAGTAAAGAAGAAATAAAATTAACAAGTATAGAAGAAATAAAAAGAATGAGTAAAGAAGAAATAAAATGAAAGAGAAAAGAAATATAATGAACAAGTAAAGAAAAAATAAAATGAACGAGTAAAGAAGAAGACTTGACAAGTACTACAACCATAAATAACTTGGTGAAACATGCAATGGGTGACACAAAGATGACAAATGCAATACCTGCGGTTGATCTTTTATAGGCTCCACTTGAATACGGTGATTGGGTGTGGGTAGGGCCATCTTCCAGCATTTGGGGATCCATCATAAAAGGAACTAACTCGTCCTCCGCGACAAACTCAGTCATCTGACGGGGAGCGGCAGAAAGGCGGTGTTAAGTACCTTCCCAAGTTTGGATGTTACTGTAGCTTTATATACTTGACTCAATTTTTGTTTAGATGTAAGTTATATCATTCACTAGATAGTAATACTGAAGCTTTTAGCAAAGGTGATGAATTATGGAAATGTGCAATTTTGGTTAAAGCGATAGAAAAGCCCAGAGATCTTTTGCTGTGGAGTGCATGCATACCATCAAAGCACTTCTTTAGTTTGAGACCAAGTATGGTATTAAATTCTGTGGATAACTCAACCAAGAATATAAACTGTCAAGAACCCATGATGAATCAAAAAAATTAAGCACAAAATATTGACTTTTTGCAAGGGTTATAAATCTGTTTAAATTTGCAATTCAGGATAAGCCAATGGAAGATCAATTAAATATATGGATTGGGAAGTATCATAGAAATGGAAGCATTTTTAATGCCACAGCTTGCTTGTGGTTAGGTGCAGAAGTGGACCTGAAATTAAAGATTGCAAAGAGATAATAGAAGAAGGCAAGATTAGCTCACTGTCATTTGTAGTTTAAATGTTAGAGCAAATTTATAGAAAATACATTATTACCCACCACAATCCATGTTACATGTTGCAATCCAACCACCAAGCTATACATGGACTACATGTAGTTATTATTTTTGATATATTTAAAAGAAAAAGATATGTTTCCGTCACCCAAGCAATATATGTATTTATTTTACAGGTACAGGTATTTAAGTTAATTCATAAAAGATATAAAGCCTACAAGTACATTACAAGATGTACATGCAAATGAACGGCTCAGAAATAGAATGAATCTTGAGAACATACATGTACATGTACATGTATAATACACGATTAAATTGTATTCACCTTAAAAAATGGTTGCTAGTTAGAATTCATAAGTGGGCCTTAAATCTTTTTTTTTTTTAATCTTAATTTCAAATATACTGTATGTATACAAAAAGCCTGACATGTGTCAATGTTTTGTTGTTCCTCAGGCCTGAATTAAAGGTTAAGCCTGAACACTTTCATCCCTGATTTAAATGCTTTATACAATGTATTCTTTTAAGGTACATAACCATGCGGTATTTTCAATCCTTATATAATGAACCATCCTTTTGATTATATTTTCAACCCTCAAGCATGAAATATCAAAGAAGAGAATGACTGAATTAGAGGTAATCACAGATTTATGAGAATCACTGAATGGCTGGTAGCCATATCGCACTATTGGCGTGGCAAGGAGAGGTGTCGTGGTCGAGTGGATACGTCGACGGACTGTCGATCTTAAGGCCTGCGGTTCGAGTCCCGCCACGGCACTAATGTCCTTTGGCAAGACATTGATCTCCTTTGCCACACTCAACCCAGGTGATGTTAATGGGTACCTGGCAGGAATTAATTCCTTAACATGCTAGAGCGCCGTAATTGTAGCCTTGCTAAAGCCAGGATAATAATCAACAGCGCCAGGAGTGTCACTTGTGACAGACATGTGCGCTATATAAGAAGCCACCATTATTATTATTATTATATGTTCATATGGCAAAATCAGAAGTAATCATAAACTTGTATCTAAATTTATAATTAAAATACAATTCATATCTAAATTATGCTTCTCTTCCTAGGTAAAATATAGTTTGGAACATAACAGAAAGGGGAAGTCCACCCTGAAATTAAGTTAGCTTTAATAGGAGTAGAAAAATGAGAGAAACAAGTCAGTGAAAGTTTGAGCAAATTCCGATTAAAAATAAGGAAGTTAGGATTTTTGAAGTTGTGATCAATCAAACACAAATTGGCAACTCTATGACGTATCATGCGAGCTCAACTTCCATTTGCTCAGTACTAAAAAAATCTAAAATTTTCATTTTCCCTCAAGAAAAATTTCAACCATACATGCACCCTAAATATAATAATTGCAAATATGTTTCTATACTCCCCCTGCAAGAAACAAATATATATTCCGTCATCAATAACGAAGAAAACATGATTCTATGGAATATTATGCACAAAGCAAATGAAGGAGAGCTCGTATAATAAGTCACAGAGTTGCCAATTTGTATTTGATTGATCACAACTTCAATAATTCATAACTTTCTTATTTTCATTCAGAATTTGCTCAAACTTTCACTCACCTGATTTTCTTATTATTCTGCCTCTATCGAAACAAACTTATTTTGGGGGTGGACTTTCCCTTTAATGGGAAAATTTATGAATTAATTTGACATATGTTAGCTGTAAGTGCACGCGCATTCTCCCTACAAATTCACCTCCCCCCAAAAAGGGTGTGAAACTATGCATGTGTAAAAAAAGCTATGTGCGAGTAGGCGCGCACGTCACTAAGGGATACGAATGGAGAATAGTCCAGGCAGCGGACTACACTCTTGGCTGAAAACATACCTTATGAATACAGTCTGAATTTGGTAGACTACCCCCTCCCCCCCCCCCTCCAGTTCAGACTACCGCAATTTTCTGTCATTTTTGAGTTTTTTTTATCTTTTGCCTGAATGACATACATGTACACTATGATGAAAATTCATCTAACAAATCATTGTAAAGCAGATATGTTTGAGCAATGAGCATTATTTTAAATGAAAGCTTGATAAAGAATTATAAGGGTCTGGTTCTCATCTGAACGCTGTACATGTACCATACAAAAACCAAACACGTACTGGGCAACCACTTCAAAATTAGTTTCTTTATACCTTTCTTTATAAAATGTTATTGTGTGTACACCCATTTCACTACACAGTGATTCTTTATACGCCGTTTCTTCAAACAGGTTCTGGTAAATTTCCTCTCATCTGAACAAGCTACAAAGAGCAGCAAGCAATGTTATTCCATAACACACTGCAGGCATTTTAGTGGCTGTCCTATTTTCCATGTTTTTTTCTTCTCCCTAAATCCCCCTTCCATGTTATGAATATTCCTGGGTCGACTCGTCCTGGACTGTTTTCTCTTCTCTGCAATATTCCTGTCACACTTGGCTAGCTATGATATTAATCCTGACTCGCTGCTCCAGGTAATAATGTATTCACTGAAAATGTACAAGTAGATAACTGGCCATCTAAATTCCCTTGGGAGATTGGGATGATAAGCGGGATTTAATTGCATGAGCTGACTTCTCAACTTGCTATGTCAGGTTGTGCTCATAAGGTGTTTTTTTAATGTCTAGATTGGCAGTTCAGAAGTTACACATTTGCTGGAATTTTTTTGCCTGTTGTTAATTGAAACAAGTTTGAGATTGTCAACTTCAAAAACAGTAAACATTTTAAAGTGACTCAGTAACATTGTTGAAGGTTGATGAAAGAAATACATGATTTTTGTATGAAATGTTACTTATTATATTCCTTCTACTGTACATATCCTCTAGCATACAAAAATCCTGAAAAAATTCTTAAACTACAAAGATATTTATGGTTTTCTTCATTGCTATAAATTAGAATATCTCTTTCATCAGAATCCAAAATTTAAAAAAAAAACGAGGTCCTATGAACAATAAGGAAATGGCAGTATCTTCTGTAGGAGTGTAGGTCACTATGTCCTGAACATTAGACAAAGCATTACACTATGAAATTATATAAAAACTGGTTGGACTTTATTCAATTGGACGAACATCAACTTATTCATCTACATGTACATGCATGTACATGTTTGTTATATTTCATAAGGTGTACCTGTCTAACTTCCTTTTTTAAACTCGGCCTGATAGAATTAAGTGTAGACCGAGACTTGTTGGTGTTTAAATCAATTCCAAATTTAGTACCAAATGGTCATACATTTAGTGCTAAAACAATCATATGGTCTCTTGGTAAATGCTAATCTTGAGGGTACACAACCAGTAGGGTTTATGTGCAATATTGTATCAGTACATCCATTAACGACCAAACCATTATGGTGAGGGTTAGTTTCAGGTACATATAAGGGTTAGGTAACGGGGCAGGATACAGGATAGAATGTAGTAAAGATTCTGTAAGAAACTTTAGTTCTTGCAATTACCTTCATTGATGAAACCTTGGGTCTTTCAATGGATGTTTGGTCAAGTTTTGTGGTGGGGTATTGTAACATTGCTGTGATTCTATTATCATCTACTGTATTTCATCAATGTTGTTATCATTATTATTAATATATTATTATTATTATCATTAATATATTATTATTATTATCATTAATATATTATTATTATCATTAATATATTATTATTATTATCATTAATAAACTACATGTATTATTTTTATCATTACAATTGTCACTATCGTAATTACTATTAACATCATCATCATCATCATCATCATCATCATCATCATCATCATAATTATTATTATCATTACCGGTAATCTGATTTTTATCATCTAGGATAGAGGTCAGAGTTACAATGTCCATGTAGGTGTAAACATATGTATTAGGGTTAGGTGGAGGAGTGGGATTTTTGTTATTATCATTATTATTATTATTATCAATATCATCATTATTATTCTAATGAATACTAATATCATTTGTTGTTGTTGTGCTGACAGGGAGGTTTTAAAGATACAGATATAAATTTACAAAAATATCTACAATGTAGAACCTCTTTTATATGATACTTGGTACAGTAAATGCATCTGTGGGGGCGTATTCTGAATTAAATTTGAATTATAATCCAATGGAAGTATGCTTGTAAAGACATATCATTATCAAATGAAAATCGCCCAGAGTAAACTTATTACTGTTGTTGCCTTGCTGGCACGGTCGTGTCTGTTTATCTTCTTCTTCTTCTTCTTCAGTTGCAGTACAGGCCACTGTCAGGTGTATTGTCATACTGTTGAGGTGCAGTGCAGATGTGTGTACAATGTCTGATAAAAGGTACAATAACTGGGTACATGTACAATTGTACGTAAACATACAAAGTCACTTTTGAGCAGACAATAAGATGTTTTACACCATTATTATTAACATGCTTTCACTAACATAAAACTTTCAAAGCTAACCTAGTTTTTCAGAATACCAAATGTTTGACAATGACAGTACTGTACACTTTTTAACATTATTATAAAAAACAGTAATGTTCCTTATAACTTCATTTATAAATAGGGTCTATGTGTAAATGTATGGTAACACAGATCGGCTTTCACCATGTTCACTAACGTAAAACCCGATTTATAAAATTCACTTTTCTTTTTCAGTTAAATCAGTAGACTTTACCATACAATTTGAACAAACATCCTTTAGATTAAAAAACATTCTGCACTTTCTTTGTCAACACTTTTTGAAGCATATTATTGAAATGCTGGCTGTAGATCATTACTATTCGGGCTCATTTAAATACGATCATTCGTCCATGTTCAACAGCCTCCTCCTTCAAAGTCTTACTTAAGAGTCACTTTATTCATAAATATACTTCTTGATTTCCATATATCTTTTTCATAAGTTTACCTCATATATGTACACTGTACATGTAATCTCTCTTTCTCCTTCCCTTCTCTTGGACTTGGGTGAGTGTGTGTGTGTGTGTTGGATGTGTCCGCTTGTGATTATTATTAATGTTTTACTTATAATTTGTTAATTTTGTCAAAGGGGCACCAGTCCACAAGATCCTGATCTTTTTTGGTTGCCCCTAACGATATGTTAATTTTTACACATGTACAGTATATGATTATGTCAATATGTTTTATTGCATTGTACTATTTTCTTTTATACATGTATTGTTGAATAAAGATGAATTGAATTGAATTACTGTAGTAAGACAATGGACGCGTTTATCGGGGCTTGCCACTAGATATGTACATATCGTACCCCACTATCATACCCCACTATACGATCGTGATTTGCGGGATGTCGCGTTTATCGTCTCTTCACGATTCACAATAAAGGCCTTGTCTCTTTGCAGCTGCTCAGCGCCGTTTGACCCGGGAAGCAGACTAGCCTGGGAATCCCTATTTGTATGCGAGGTTCAAAACAGCTTTGCGTTTATCGGTCTCTCAGAAACGTGATTCTGGCTGTATGTCACATTCAAAACACACCTTTTTGCGTCTTTAGATATGCCCATATCTAAAGCCATTTAAAAAAGGCTTTGCGTTTATCACCTTCTAAATTTACCTGAAAGACGTTTTAGAAACCCGATTCTAGCCAAAAATTTGGTCGATAAACGCAACCAATGTCTTGTCGTTACTTGTTTGTTTGTTTCTTTTAATTGGATACATGTTAATGTTATATATTGAATTCCTTCACCAATTAGATATTATTTTCTCTCTAATAAATGTTACACATCTTGTCTTACTCAAAGTCAAACTTAAAACTAAAAGTTAGTCAAACTTTAATCTCGATAATTAGAACAACGATCGGTCAAGTAAGTAGAAACATTGTTACCTCCCGGGGTGGCGAAATGGGTCTCAACCTCCGGTGTGATTTGTAGCATGTTAATAGTTCGGAGCAGGAATATGAAAGACTTTGTAAACAAATCTGGCCTGGCACTCCTGATCTACAGAGTAACAGAGTACAGCATGAACCCGGCCCGGTGAAATTAGTCTGCAACGCACTCCAGCTCCTGCGGCCCGGGGATCCGCCCCGATAGGACAATGACTCTTGTCTAGTCTAGAGCAGCTGCTACGATAAAAGTTGGTCTCCACTCTTGTTTAAAAGCTATCCACAGAAAATACCTCATCCGATATAATGACAATTGATGTTGCACTATTTGCTTGGTCTGCATGAAGTCTGTCAACGCGAAATTTTAACATTTGCAAAAGGAAATTCTCGACAAAAAGGCGTAGGCAATCTCGGCATGCAACCATATGTTGAGATTGTGTAGGTAAGCCTTGCTGTTGTTTTGTGCGCGCTCCCTCCCGCGACAAATGCATTATAGGATCGGATGGAGCAGCAAACACAAATCATTTCTCCTATCCCATTCAAATTTTTAGTAGTTGAACTTTGGCTGTTTTAGCTCTGTCGAAAGAAAAATATAAAGTAGAGTAGGTTCGTGGAGAAAATATGCAACTTACATCTAAATCTGATATTGTGAACGAATTTAATGACTAATTAGTCAATATTGGACCGAATTTAGCAAATGAGTTGCCGAATAAAGATGGTGGGGTGGGGGGGGGGGGGGGAATATAGAGAATCTCTATTTTGGAAACCAATAACTGCAGTTGAAGTTAGAATTCAAGCTTTGCTACTTGATACCAAAAAGGCTAGTGGTCAATATACAATTCAAGTGCAATTAATTAAAGACACCTTTCAACAAATCCAAGTGCAAGGTCATCTACTATGGATACAAAAACCTAAGAGAAAGCTATTCCATCAACATCAAAGAGACAAACTCCATGATAAAAGACGTAACTGAGGAAAAAGACCTGGGAGTCACCTTTGACCCATCCTTGAAATTCAGCCTGCATGTCGGAAAAATTACAGCCAAGGCCAATTCCATCCTTGGGCTCCTCAAGAGAAACTTTCATCACCTTGATGAAAATTCATTGGTTCTCCTGTACGTATAAAACCCTGGTATACGACCTAAGTTAGAGTACTGCTCAACAGTATGGAACCATCTTTTGAATAAGGACAAGGATAAGTTGGAAAAGGTGCAGAGGAGGGCTACAAAACTCGTCAAAAGTGTGAGACACTTAACTACTCAGAGAGACTCAAAGCACTGAAAATCCCCTCTCTACAGTTCAGACGGAAACGATCTGATATGATTCAAGTATTCAGAATAATGCACCAGTTTGATAATCTTCAAGAACAACATTTCTTTAGCAGAACAAAGTGCAGTCGCACACGTGGTCACTCACTTAAGCTTTACAAGCTAAAATGCCGGAAGACACTAAGGAAAAACTCATTCAGCCAGAGAATAATCAATGTGTGTGTGGAATGGTCTTCCAGGCGATGTTGTGGAGAGTACCATTATCAATCGTTTCAAATCTGGGCTTGAGAAATGGTGGAAAGATGCCCCAGATAAATATGATGACATCCCCAACCAAACGAAACCTTGGATAGGAACAACAGTCTAAAGACTGAATAATCCTGGATCAAGTGAGTTAACAAGTGAGTATAATGCTCTGTACAGGCGCGTATGCAGGGGGGGGGGGGGTTAAACCCCCCTTTTACCTTTTTTATGTATGTGTTTTGGAGGAAACCCCCCCCCCTGCAATTAAAAAATAATAATACCCCCCCCCAAAAAAAAAAAAAAAAAAAAAAAAAAATTGTGGTAATGGATGACCCCAAAAAGCTGACCTTTTAACATTTTGGTACACCAAAAACCAAAAAAAAAATATATATGTGTCCTCTTAACCCCCCCCCCCCCCCCGCCCGCTTATTCAGCGGCTGGCTGAGTCGTTGCGAAATTTTCGGCTCGATTGAAAAATTTAAAAATGTTAAACCGTTTCGGGACCAAAAAAAAAAGTGTCCTCTTACCCCCCCCCCCCCCCCCCCCCCCCCCCCCGTTTTTCAAAACCCGTTTTCCCAACGGTTTTTATAACACTACAGTCTATTGGGGAAAATGAGTATGGTAAAACCAGTCACTCAAAGATTTTTACTTTTTGAGGCACATCTTGATCATTTTGAAGCGCATCTTTTTTTTTAGGGCTTCAATATTACCCCATATCACAGACGCTGATATCACGTAAGGCCATGCATTTTAGATTTGGCAAATGGTTTAAGGACTATATCAGTAACTGATTTCATTTTGTTCAGTGTTAATAACAATAATAATAATAATAATAATAGGCATTTCTATAGCGCCGTCTATCTAGAAATTCTATTCCGAGGCGCGTTTATTATTACCCCGGCTTTAGCCTAGCTGCCATTTAGCGCTCCAGCACTTCAGGCGCGTAGCCAGGGGGGGGGGGGGGGGGGGGGCGGTGGGATTAAATGATTATTCAATGATATTTCAAAGTTTCCACGCTTCGCGCGAGAGGGGAGGAAACTGAAGACAGATAGGGATTAAGAGTCGAGAAAGGTACAACGAATCGTCTTCTTTGTCTAATAATACGTCAAAGCTTCCGAGCTAGGCGCAGGAGGGCGGGGGGGGGGGACTGAATTCAGACAAGGATTATAAGTCGAGAAAGGTACACGAATCGTCTTCTTTCAAAGCTTCTCCCTCCCTGCACCCACCCCTACCCCCTCCCCCTCCCCCCTCCCTGCACCCACCCCCCCCCCCCCCCCCCCCTAGGGAGCGATTCCGTGCATTATCTTATAGACCTGTATAGCATGTCGCTTCTATGACGTCTGTATGATAATGAAGGCAATTTTAGTTGCTCTAGCCGTAACTTGTACTGAAGACTTCTGAGAGGTTGAAGGAGTTTAGTTGCACGACGTTGAACTTTTTCCACTTTGAGAATATGTTTCTTCTTATAAGGGTGCCACACGGGAGAGCAGTATTATAGTGCTGGTTTCACAATTGACTTATATAACTGTGTGAGTCCCTTGTTGTCCATAGTTGAGAAAGTACGCTTGATGATACCTAATTTCCGGTTTGCAGCATTGCAATCAGTGTCAATGTGGTTTGAAAAGGATATTTTATCATCGAATATTACTCCCAGATCCTTTTCATGATGAACTGCAGGTAATGGCTTGTTAATGATGACAGATGACAGGCTTCCGACAGGCAAGAAAGCCCTGGGAGGAAAACAAAGAGAAAAGACGGAGAAAGCGATATAAAAGGGAAGAGGGTCGAGAAAGGGAGAAGGTATTTGAATTAAAGAGCAGGGTTCTGCACTATTAATATGCCTGATTATTTATGTAGAAATGAAGCTATATCCACGGTCAGCATTCTTATAAGAATTTTATAATGTCGACATTTCATCTCATAACAGCTTTCTGGAGAAAAAAGGCGCCTTTACAAAGGGCAACCTCAAGGTGAAAAAATATAATAATCGATCTTCAAGATTTTCTCTTTTCGTGGTCCAAGATACTGCTTCAGCAATTTACTTTGAAGTTGTGTATATGGGTCTTCATATTGATTTGTGAGCGCGCAATTTCCCGTGCTTAATTTCAATGTACAAACAAAGGGGCGGATCCTGGATTTTATAAAAAGAGGGAGGGGGAGCGGGGGTGTCGTAAAATTGCCTGATAAGCAACCAAAAAGGTCATAAGGACTTTTCAAGTCCTTTTCAGTAAATAAATCTCTGACAATAAAAGACAATATAGTGGGCACACTTTCGGTCTTGTATACTGAAGGTATGTCATTTGGGTTTCAAAGGGGGAGGGGGCAAAGGTCTGTTGGCCCCCACCCCTCTGTTTAACACTGAACAGATATGTGCCTTATTTCCACCGCTTCTTTTACATGGTATTTTACACTCGCACAAACGGTTAAACGGAGAAGAAATATTATGCTGTGTGCATTATAATGCAATTACACCTCTTGTCATGCCTTGTCCCTGAAATCAATCTCAATGTGATGTTTTATCTTTGCGAAGGACATAATTACAGTTTCACACAGGTTGTATTGCATTGTAAACCTAAGTTATTATTTTCTAGATGATCCGAATTCTCTGCAGTACATGAATTTGTAAACGAAACTGTTTTTAAAAGGCCCTTCTCATTCTTTTATGAACTGATTAATCTCCATATCTCAAATGATGCTGTTAATACATGTCGTTTACTGAATAATAAATAAAAATATATCTTGATAATTTATAAAGCGCAGATACTCTGCAAATAAAAACACTACGTCACAAGAGCCCCTGATGTGTGTAGTAAAGTTTGCAAAGACGTACGTTTAGTCTTGCTTTTTACTTGTAATACTTAACGCTGGTCATTTAAATAGATATCTGTAAATTTCATCAACAAATTTTGTTTCCGAAACAATAACTTTATCTAAAGTTACTGTTTAGGAATTAAGGTTGGATCATTCATTTTGGACGTACGAATTTGTTTTCTATCATTTTGATGATAAATTGGAGCACTGAAGAAGTCGTTGGGTTTTTTGTCCAATCATAATTATGTACTTTTTATGCTATGGTATATATAATCGTGTAATCAGACATGGCTATATTCTTTCGATTGCATCGCCTAAATGAGCGATGTTTATAAGCTCGTTGAAACTATGGCAAGCATATCGCTTTTACGCATTTTCTAATGCGTACTAACGCGATTAAGTGCACAGGAAGTTCATTGGCATGAAAAGGAAAATGTGAGCCCTTGGAAAATGTTTGGTTTTTTTCTGAGTCAAAATCGGAGCTTTTCAATTCACTGATTGATGGTGATAATTCACACATGCTTCGATGGGCTGTCTCAAAGAGAAGATGACTGCAAGCCTATCCAGGCGTTTGAGGGAACTGGGGCAACATTTAAAGACGAAAATGAATTGAAGGGTACAGAGAACTAGTAAGAACAGGAATCACTGGTATGGAATATCGATCAGTTGTTTACCTGCTTCCATTTCAATGGCACGCATTATCTGGAATCATTTCATGCTACTTTACAATTATTAATGAAAGTTCATAGTGAGAGGCGTTTGGATTATTTAGAATTAGCCCCGCATTTTGCTTATTCATCCAGATTTGAAGGTATATCATACTTTGTTTGCAAGGACATGATCAATATTTCAGTACATGACTGACTTATAGTTTCATTAATTTCCCTCGTACACTCCAGTAATAATTCATAAAAAATATTTCATCCTTGATACCATGATCAAAAGCCTTAACTTCCATTATGAGCAAGAAATCTAGGCCTATTCCACAATCAGGCCATTTAGCCATATAGGCTTATGAATCAAAGACGACACAATGCTATTAATGGAAAATAAAGCCTTGTACGGTAGCAAAAAATTACTCATAATTGCAAAGGTCAAATAACAGTACACAGTATATCATGAGTGATTTTTTTCATTATC